AAAGCACTTCAAAATAACCTTTTAATGAGTAATAAGAAGGTTTAGTATTACACCAGTTATCAATACACAAAGGTTGAGTGAGTGTTCCTGGAAGCCCAGAACTAAATGTTAAATGTGTAAATGGGCCCTGCAACGGGTATGAGTCTACTGACTGGTGACACCATTATCAAACTCTGACCTAACATACATTTTCTTTGAATCCGATTCTTGCTCAAACAAAGCCATGCCAAATACTGCGTTGTGTCTGTTCAGGTTAAACTCCATTTACGGGTTGGCTTCATGGGAAGTTAAACCTGAATTAAGATTTCTCTATGTCTGACATTAGAAATATGGTGTCATGCAAACCTGTTATACAAGTGTCACATCTTATCAGCTATCAGGAAATGTAGATATGCTCCGTCATTCAAAAATCTGTTATCGGTGAGTGTTAACTTCCACAAAAGGTAGACCAAGGTGTTCCCAGCAACACGTGACTAAAGCTACAAGTCACACAGTAGAGTGGATAATGTACAGAACATTTAAAAGGGATCCTTTTAGGTAACTTGTCACTCAGCATGGCATCACAAAAGCACCTGGACAAAATTACATTGTGAAATACAGCCATAACCTGAATATGCGGGTTTCTTGAAAGTGTGAGACATCGGCAGCTGAACTCTTTGGGGGAAATGTAAGGTTTCCTGTAAGTCATGTGTTATGTGCAGCTTTGAGGGGGTGGCAGCAGATTTTCTGCTCCTGTCAGTAAAACAGTGAAGCGTGGGTGTCTGTCCCTCCTGAGCACACACTCACTCACACACTCACTCCAGTCAAAGTGATAGCGGGGAACTTCAGCTGTGTCATTCAGAAACACGCTAAAGACTGCACTGTTTGAGTGACATCTCCAACGCCTTCACTTGACCACCTTCTTGATTTGCTGCATCTACAAATCCTTTACTCACCAGAATGTGGAAATAAATGTAAAAAGAAATAAATTTTTCATGTGTGAACATTATAATTCTAGACATTTTACACTACCAGGCTGTAAACTAATAGTTTGTCTGTAATATTTGCAGGTGCTGTTGTTTGATGTGCTGGGCATTTTTCACTGAAGACAAGTCACAGTAAAAAAAAGCACAAGTGTTGAATAATAAAATGAATATCCTATATTCATTCAGCTTCTTCTGTTTCAGGGTCCTGGTATTGTCATGTTAGGGCTCTGTGCAGGCCACTGATGTTTTTCCACACTTAACTCAGGAAAACCAGTTCTTTTTGGACCCTGCTTTGTGCACTAGTGGGCATTATTGAGTTAAACTGTTGGAGGCTATTGTGTAAACTGTTGTGTGAGTGTTTCACTCACAAGTTCATTCCCGAACTTAGAAACAGCAGTTGACAAGAATGTGTTGAAACATGAAACATTTTGGCCGACAGGGATGAGAAGTCCTGAAAGAGTTCAGAAAAAGATGAACAATTATATTTTCATGACACCTGGACACACTCCAGCTGCTGATTTAGATCATGTGATATGATCGAAAAGCTCCTGAACAGCTACTAAATGGAGTCTGTTATGTCAATCTTTGTGTTTATTATGGACGGGGGTGTCGGCGTACTTCTGGTCCAAGAGTGTTTGAAGTTTTATTGATGCCAAAATTGAAATAAACCCACACATAGTTGGAGGGATCGTTTTAGGATGATGAACTGACGCAGTCTTGGTAGTCATGTGGCAGTGTTGGTTAGACGTCTGGAACAAAGAGGTTACACAGTGTTTCTGAATATTGGTGACGTACCTCCAACTAAAGCCACATTAGAAAATGAATGTGTTATCTGCATCAAATAAAAAGTTGGAAGCAACTGAGGAGAATTGTTTTGCCGTTGTCTTTGCTATAGTGATGAGTTTGGTCAAAAGTTGTAGAGAAGAAGGATATATTGAATACTGAGTCTAGATGACAAAGAAAATAAATTAAATGCAAATTAGGCATAAACCTATTGGTGAATTAAAAGAGCTCAAGTCTGTCTGTCTGGGTTCAGCTGGTGGAAACTTCCTTGTGAAGTTCATCAAGAGGTAGCGCAGGTTTCCCTCTTAAAGTTGAAAGGTGCTTCTGGTCTGACTTGCGCTTGTTTCAAAAAAGGACTTCCTGTGGAAACATTTGACTCCCTTGTATAAATCTGCTCTCAACCCACAAATTCAGACTGCATTAATGGGGGCGGGGGGTCCTGGTGGTGCAGTGGGCCGGTGCATAACATTTGCTCACAGTGTGACAGTTCTTGTGACCTTTGTAGCTGGAAGACTGACTGGAAAATGATGTCCTTCTTAAAAAGAGGTCTTGTTCATTCACACAGACTTCAGCTGCGTAAATGCTGCGTGAAACCTGCGTGTTTCATGGTGACTTCAGTCAACAGATACCTTACTGTGTTAGTGCCTCAGAGATGATAACGAACCACCACTGAGAAGTGCGGTTTTTGTATCACCGAAGAACAACATCAGAAGATAAAATGAGATAAGGAGGCGTAGATTGGTTGTCAGTATATGCTGCAACCACACAATCCTGCAGGCCTGTGTACAAAGTGGCGTAATTACGTTTCCATGACATTTACAATTCAAGATGCCAGAAAAAACATAACTACTATTCATGATCTGAAACATTTTTTCTATATACACATCAGGCATAGTGTTACTTCTCATATTTGACAGCACTTTGTAAATACTAGATACAGGAACAGGATTAACACCCACACTGAGTAGGAAGGAAGCAAGATTTGCAGATAAAAGGCCTAACTTACATGACAAGTAAAACCTTCTATCATGAAGTACAGAATGCAGCAACCCACGAAAACGATAACCTTTATGACTAGGTGTAAGAGTGGAGAGTCACACATGGTCTGTCACACTGTTTGTGCTCCACATGTACAGTAAAAGGAGTGCGTGGTGGTGGCCTGAAGGTTAGAGAGCCTGCCTTGTAGTCCCAATGCTGCTCAAATCCCAAAAAAGCAATTTAGAGGAACTGTTAAGCATTTGCAGAAATAGGTTTATAAGATTCATGCCTCTCTCATATTTGTGCGGTAAAACAAGCTACAGTAAGCAGCTGGCTAATGTAGCTTAGCATAAAGACTGGAAACAGCTAACATGTCTCTGTCCAAAGGTAACAAAGCCAACCTACTAGCACCCATGTTTGTTAAATTCAAATTGTGCTTTACACTACAGAGGGTTATGTGCTGGACTATTTCTTGGGAAGTTACTGGTCCTAGCTAGCAGTTTCCTCTATTTCCAGTCTTTGTGCTAAAGCTAAGTTGGCTAGCCTCATATTTAGTGTAAAGACATGGAAGTGTTATCAGTCTTCTCATCTAACTCGAAAGCCCGTTAGCCAAAATGTTGAACTTTTCCCTTAAAAGGATTTCATGAAAAGTATGAAATCCATGATTTCATGAAAAGTATGAAATCCTTTTAAAGGAAAAGTGCGACATTTTCTTTGCGGCATCTTCTAAGTGCCCCTGACAAAGCCATGAACCCTCCTCCAGCTGCTCTGTGAGGCGTGAACAGCATAAAAAGATTGTTTCGGGAAGCTCCCCAGAGAAGCCAGGTATCATCAGTATAGTCAAATGCTCATGCTGGCTAATAAAAGTTTAAACACTCAGCCTGTGCCATCCTTGCAGTCAGAGCAAGAGCCCAGGGTGACTGGTCGGGGGGCTGAAACCAGAGGTCTGCATGTCTGCGACCTTTCATAACCCCACCTTCTATTTTGTTTGTCATTATTGAAAAGAGGACTGGAGATGGTGACATTGTGACGCACCACTCCAAACCAAATGGGGTGTAGGACGTAGAGAAATGAGAGGTGCGGGGAAATTCCCCCATCAGGCAGCTGTGAGATTGATAAACCAGGGGGAAATGTTTTCTCACACTTCACAGTCAAACACGGTCTTCAGTTTGATTTTCTGTGAATCATAATAGTGGTCTGGTTTATGAATCAGTGTAGAATGAAAAGAGCAGTTCGGGATGGCTGTTTCGAAAATAAATTTTTTTCTGTCTTTTCTTTATGAGAGAAGGGAGTGGAAGGAATATGGAGAGATTGAAGATAAGTAAATAACTGAGTTGACGTGATTTGAACTGAAAACCTGCAGTAATGGTATGGACCTGGGCCCCCACACACAGGACAACCGCAGACAAACTTGTAACACAGTGAACATAGAACTATGCTGTTAGTAAGAACAATGCTATAATATAAAATGATCAGAACTACTGGCTCAACTACTGCAATGCATTGTTCACAGGTATCCATTAAAAGTCAGTAAATGTATTACGACTAAAATCTGTGACTACTACTAGTCTGCCATTTTTAGCTACCTTAGCATTGCACATTTTCGGCCCGTCCCACTCAGATCGAGACCGAAATATCTCAGCGTTTATTGGATGGATTGCTATATATTTTTTGTACATCCTTTAATGATCCTCAGAGGATGAATCCTTATGGCTTTGGTGATCCCTTTTTTATGTAGCCACCATTGGGTCAATATTTTCATTTGTCCAATAATTTGGATTACATAACAGTTTGGGTCTCTTATAGCATGCCTGAAAACTCTTATCCTTGTTTTTAAGTTACATATACTATTACTTTAGTCAAGTTTTATTTATTTATTTGGATAACATTCATTCATTCTGTTAAACTTGTCTGCTCTTTCATTTCTTTTGTTTGCAGTTACTATTCCTAGCATTTTGTGTATGGAAGGTGCTACATAAGTGAGGTTAATTATGATTATTGTATTACCTGCAGACAGGGTTCAAAATGAACTGTTTTCTCCATCAGTCTAATGGCTAGTGAATGTTCAAATTTTACCAACCATTCAATAGATAACCATAGTTTTTTGGGCTGGTGAATGAAGGAAATCTACCAGTCGCATATTTGACCATCATTTGGCCAGTGACTGGTGCTAATTTTGTGCCCTGCCTGCGGAGCGAACAGCACTATCCAGGAGGCAAATCCTTTAGCACAAACAATGTGAAACAGTAAATCAAACCACTTCACTTCGCAGGGTTAAGTTAATTTAATATGTTTTATTATTAATCCAGTTACCAGAGGAAATAGAATGATAAAAACAAGGTACCAGTAACATTGCCATTTCCCTTGTATGCATTCAGGTCTGCAAACTCCCCCTTGGGCCAACGCTATCCTCACATCCTTATGACGGCAATGAGCATCATCATCATCCATTCAGTAAACATTCACATGTGACGGTGCAACACATGAAGCAGTCTTTTTACAAAAGTACACAACAGACAAGTTGGTTGGAAATAAACAATGACTTAAGAGATATATTTACAAGATTTTTTAGCCCGATTTTAAAACATTAAATAAAATCTGCGTTGAGACGGCAACAACAAAAAAAAGATCTTAATGCGGTGCAAAAAGTACCCACAGAAGCGTCTGCTTCAGTGACATTGGAGTAAAATTATACAGTTTGTAAGTAGTGCGCTCTTTATTACCACCCTCTATTACAGATTGTATCCTCTGGAACATGTTAATATACCTTAAATTAAACAGTAATGTATGTGTTCAGGCTATGTTTAAGCTTTACAAGATAATTTCCCACATTAAGACACATTAAGGCCCTTGCTCTCCAACATGGAGGACTGTGACATAAGCATCCTGCTATTGTGACTGAAAGGTACTTCAACAAATAGAAAGTGCTGTCTTTACAGAAGGTGACAGTCTTGTTTAAATATCTGGGATAAAGTTAAGTAAGATGCAGTAACACTCGAAAATAATGCTTAGCCATAGAGCTAGCATACATTTTTCAGGGTCACAGTAACTATTAATGGGCTGCACAAGCCACGTTCGTTGGTTTAGGAAAAAATATTCTACTGTTAAAACTGTGAAAGGGGTGACGAGGCAGTTTGCACAGTTTATGGTTTCATGTATTAAGACAAACTTACAGGCACTCAAAACGTCTGTAACTGCCGACTTGACAAATCACATGGACCCCTTAGGGGCATCTTGGTGTTTAGAGTCAAAACTGCAGAATCCCTTTCTGTACCATTACTAACGAAAATAAAAACAAAAGGAAAAGAGCAGTAAATAAAAGGAAGAACAAAAAGACCCCAACAGATACACACAAATAGACAAAAAAGCACCACAGAAAACGTGGTCCCAGTTTGGTGAAACTTCGGAGTGCTACACCTTCTGTCCAAGCGGCTGCGCTGACCGCCGGCCTGACTTCATGCGGCTACGTGCATACACCCGTAGGAAAAGTGCCAAGAAAACTACAGCAACACCAAATCCACCTACTAAGGTGACGGCGTGACCGTAGAGGAAACAGGAGAGGAGAATGGCGATGGCCTGGCGCAGGGTCATAATGATGGTGAAGACCGCAGCACCGAACTGGTTGATGGTGTAGAAGATGAAGAGCTGGCCGCATGCCGAGCACACGGACAGCAACACGGCATGAAAGGCAAACTCGGAGTGGCGTGTCATGAAGGCCACCGAGTCGAAGAAGGCACCCTGCTCCAGCAGCGAGCCGACAGTGAAGAGGCAGGAGAACAGGTTTACCCCGAACATCATCTGCACTGACGACATCTTGTACTTGAACAGGTTGTCCTGCCAGTTGGAGGTGAAGCTGTCAAAGACAATGTAGCCAATGAGGATGATGATCCCGCTGAAGGTGGTGACGGTGGACGGGTGCTTGCTGGGCGTGCTGGACAGCAGGAACATGCTGACGCCCACAGAGATCAGCACGGCGGTAAAGTACTCCCAGTATTCGTAGCTCTTGTGGGAGACGATCTTACCCATAAGCATGACGGGGATGACTTTGGAGGCCTTGGCCAGGACTTGAGTGGGGAAGCTGATGTACTTGAGAGCCTCGTACTGGCACCAGCTGCTCAGGATGTTGGAGAGTGAGGCGAAGGAGTACTTGTACATAGGTGCTCCGTGGCGAGGTTGCTTGAAAAGGATGCACCAAAGGCCCGACACGGTCAGAGCCAGGATACGGTTCATGAAGACCAAGAATTGAGAGTCCTTGAATTTCTCACCCTCGTCTTCTGGAGTCGTGGCACCATACGAACGTGTCATCACCCGCTCCTGCAGGACTCCCCATGTCAGGTACGATGCCTAAGAATAAGAAAACTGACATTAGACACCACGTTATATTTTTGTAGCGGTAGCAATTCTGCTAAATATTTGAACATTGATGTCAATTCTTGACCTTAGATAACTGTGTTGGAAAAAATTGCATTGGCTGGTTCAGCTTTCTTTTGGGTATTACTATGTCACTATGTACTTGAAGCATACAGTAGGTTTGTGTTTATTTAAGTGTCCTAATACAATACTCATACCATTTGCGGCATGACATACTGGCCATGAAGTGGTCCCTTCCTAACGCAACTACACTGTAATCAAGAAGGTATCTTCATCCTGGTAACTGCATCCATGTTGTGTCGTGGCATAAAACCTACATGTATCTACCAGCACATATGCCACAGCTCTGCAAGGAAACACCATCCAGGGAAACACTAAAAAGACCTTAACCTAGAAAGAGACTCCTTTGATTTGGTTAAATTCAACTGTCGAAGCTTCAGCTGAACTTTACAGTGCACTTTTGCTCATAACAAGGACTGTTTCCTATTTACTAGGGGTGTGACAAGATACTTAGCTCATGAGGCGAGACATGATATTTTCTCTTGTAATATCATCACTGCCGAGTCAACACACATGCAGGTGTGATTTAGTCTTCCCTCCTCTTTAGTGTCTGTTTGGGGAAGTAACTTCTGTGATTTTGGAACCTTTTAACCTCAGTGATAAAGGATTTCATTTTAATTCATTTATAAACCCCAGGGCTTTAACTTTCATAGCTCCTGTGTTTCAGCAGGTTTTCTGCTCATGTTTAAAACTTTCTGTACATTTAAAATCTCTCCCACATCTGTGTTCTCTGACATGTCAAGAAAAAGTTGTAATATTACAAAGTTAACCTAACCTAAATTCCCGGGCCATTTTGGTGCCCCAGTCCGTCCCTGAGAGCTGAGGGCATCTGCAGAGTTGGGCGATAATTCTCAGTGGATTTGTCCCTACGAGCAACCCCTTTCACACTACATGTAGTCGTTTGGTTCATTGCTAATTTAAAAATATTGATATTTTTCATATTATTATTAATTATGTGCAATTAATCAAATTTTTATCACAATTTCAATTATAAAAACAAGTTAATTGAATAAAAACTGTTATTGTGCGCATGCCGTTTTGCAATGCCATTCGTCTTGTCTTTCCTTAACAGCGGTGCCATCCGCCCTTCCCTAAAACTCACTCTCATCCAGACTGTTGCATGTTTACTTCAGCTTGAGCCGAGATGACCTATAACCTGCTATAATTTTTTGCTCCAGCCAATGCCGTTTTACACTGCAGAAATTAGCCTAGCGGACTGTTCCTCTACTCAAAGCTTAACAATTTACATATTATTTATGCTTATCTTCAACCAGGTGTGTTAAGCCTTGCTTTACCTGGTCCGTGTTTGTAAAATATCCACCGTGTTCCCGTCTGTATTACCGAATTTATACTTTTCTCACCGTTAGTTTAAGTAACTGCATCTCCCGACAGAACAGCACTGTTGAATTTCAGTGTTATGTACCGTAAGGAGGTGTCGTCAACTGCATCACCTGTCACCTGCTCCACTCCGTGCGCGCACACGGACACACACAGCGGTGCTGTCATCCTCTTGCACTCTAAGATGCTATTTGATTTTATGATGCTATTTTGGTTAATGCATAAAGCATTCAAGTTCAATAAATGCACAATGTTTCCTAAGTCAATCAGTAAATATAACCAAAATAATCGTGATTATGATTTTGCCATAATCCAGCAGCCTTTATTAATTCAGCTTTGAGATAGTCCTATTCTTTAATATAGAGCTTGATTTCTTAGATGGGGGAAGTTACTGGCATGCACAAGTGTCTCTTAACCAGCACCTCCCTATACAAACTTTGCTGAAGCATCTTTTAATATTGGAAGTGAGCTGAGAGCAAACAGTGGGTGGAATAACTTAAATAAAACAAACATTTAAAAAAAGCTCCCCACAGCTGCACAAACAGAAAAGACATTATATGTTGGATGGGATATTCAGTGACTCTCACCTGAAGTCCCGCAGAACAAAAGATTAATTTGACGACCTGTCTGAGTGACGAGCCTGAATCACCCTCATTCCTGGGCGCAACTGACACGTCATCCAACAGACCTGTTTTGGCCTCACTGCCAAACACGCAGGTCTTTATAATAGGGAAGCAAATTCCACTCCCTGAAAGAAAGGAAAACAAACATACAGAAAAAATAAAGAACAAACTTCCTATCAAGATAGTTAGGAAGGGACTACGACACTGGCATACATTTCCAAATTAGATGTCAGTATCTCACAAGCCCAAACCTGTTTCTAAGTAATTTCTGCGCTTGAAGTAGCTAATGAGGAGGTAGCCAGGGATGATAATGGTGGAGTATCCGAGCATGTTGACAAGGAAGCGGAAGAGCCAGACATCGTGCCAGCCTTCCAGTAGTGACGACTCTTCGGCAGGCACAGCAGAAGGGAAGAAAAGCAACACAAGTGCAGGCCAAACCCTACAGGATAATACAATATGTATGTTAACATTATCAATACATCAAGATAATTCATTTACATTACTACCCATCATAACAATGTCAATCATAAGTATTAAATGGGTTACAATACGAAAATGCTAACATTATTTTTATGTGTGTTTAATACTTTCTTACGCTCATCTGAATTAATAATAAAAGCATAAACTAAGAAGCCAATACAAACGTTTTAAAGTAAAGTATTTCAGCTCCATTTCCTGTGGTGTATACATCCTTTTCTCATCACACTGGATGGATACAATCACCTTGAGAGGATACCCATCGCTTGACCAGATGAATGATGTGTTATCTTTCATCTTGCTTCAAAGCAAAAGGTCTTTCTTGAAGCAGAGGCAAATGAATGCTCTTGCCGTGGGAAGACACTATGCAACGAGATAAATATGGCAAGAGTGAAAGGGCTACTCCAGCAATTTAGCATTGCATTTATAAACTTCAATGCAGTGGAGGTCAAGACATCCAAACGTTTAGGTCGTTGGTTGAGTCAAGTTTCTCTGAAAACTCCTTCCAGAGCCAAAAAGTACACTAAATAATTGTTTTCACCATGGATGTATTCAGGAGAACTGAAAACCACCAGCTGACTCCCAGCACACATGAATGGGATGAAATAATTTAATCATGCGGCTCTTCTAAATATCCTGATTTTAGAATTCTGATAACCAAAAACAAGAGTAATTTCAGAGGGTTTGTAACGTTCATAAATATTTATTCACCATATTACAACCGCTTATTTCCAATGATTGTGTTTGGGAGGAAAAGCTTTTTGGGTCAGAGTGCATTACATAGTGAACAAGTTGCAATACTTCCTGCGGCCACTGAGCCAAAATCACTTCACTGCCCATCCTGTTTCCTGGGGGCTTGGTTTTCACAAACTGAGTAGTACTACCCATGATGAGCAAACCCATCTTCATACACAACATAGACTGGCTATAGGTACAGAAATGGATGGAGGATACATTGTGGAATCATGATAAACAACCATAACACTGATAAACTACCTGTGAATAAATTAGATGAGCCTCATCGCCCACCCCCACAAACAGCCCCGATAACTCGGACACACCTGGGTGGTAACGGCGCATAGATAAGATGCTTGCCTGTGCTTCACCTGTGGTGAAACCCTAGATGAAAAAGGTGTGCTCCTTGCTGTCGTGGCACCGAGTGTGTATCCTATTCAAAGTGAGCCTTGGGCCTCCTCCCAGGGGGCCAGTGAGCCTGACTATAACACAGACATGTCTTTGTGTGGGACTCTGCCGTGGCCTGGTCAGCCAGTAGCCCACTGCAGCGAGACCTGGGCTTTGAACAAGCAGCTTATTACATGGAGGAATGCATGGCTGGGAGCAGGCCAAACCACAAGGCCGCTACACCCCACAGGCAAAGAGAGAGGGCAGTGCCAAAATGTACCTGAGGAGAAAATGAGTGCCTGTGTCTTGTATAATTATATGATAGCAGATAATTTGGACTGAAACAACACAGCATTTCGTTGTTAAACAAAGATGACTGTTACTTCCTAGCTGCTGGAGTGAGTGGTCTGGATAAATTAATATAATGTTACTACATTACAGTAAACGCATAGTTGCAGAGATTATATGATCTTAATTGAAATTTCAACCACAATACCACTGCAAATGTTTGTATCCGTCAAAACCATAGACTGTATATAAGAAAACATGCAGTGTTACCAAATATGGTGTCCCCATAGCATCTAGAGACAGGCCTGTACACTGAAGTTTCACAGCTATCAAATATAACAAGGTCTCAATTTTTTAATACGTAAGTATTAAAGTGGGGGGAAAAAAACATTTGCTGTGGAAACATAAAGCTAACTTAGGCTAACTGAAATCATCGTGTTACAGGATCTGGTGCACCATCAGTTGCTGTACACAAACCGCAGTTTCACTTTAGCCAGCAGGTTTTTTTTACACTAGTTACAGACTTCAAAAACACCACTGACATTCACTGCAACTATTAATAACATAAATGAACAATTAGCTGACTTCATTACACGCTGACGAGTACAGCAGTTAACATTCAGCTGAGCTTATGTCCACCTAAATCTCATCTTTAGCATGATATATTTTCCAGTTAGCTCCTCCTAGTCTCTAACGTTTGTTACCTCCATGAAAAAGCTGGCATTTTCCCCACACTCTCTGACCCGACTCCTGGCGCAGCACACACGCCGACAGACTCAAACGTCTCCGCTGTAACAGAGCATTAAGTCGCACGGGTCCGGAAGGTAAGGATATTTTATTATATTAAGGGCTGTCTTCTTTCGAACAAGCCTAAGCGCTGATGTCTTCAACTTAGCCTCAATGGCCGATGTGTTCACTTTACCAGGAAAGGCTCCCTCCTCTTTCCTCATCACCAAAGGATGCGGACAACATCCAGACAACAGCGCCCACTCGACGGTCCTGCCCCCTGTAGGCGCGGAGGAGTAACTGCAGACAAAGCAAGTGTATGTGCAGAGGTCATTCACAAAAGTAATTCAAAGTGGTGTATATGACGCTTTAATACACTGCAATGGTAATACAGCATAAAATCATGTAAGAAGAGGTAAAATAATCAACACTAAAAATAAAAATCTAAGAAATAAATACTAGATAGGTAAAAATGTAAATACAAGGTGGATAATGATGTGTGCCTTTAGGTTCAGTCAAAGGCACAGTTTTTATCATGGCGCTACCGCCTCGCTGTGCTAAGTGAAACTGTAGTAGTAACATAGAATAAAGCAGTAAAGCAAAGGTCAAAACTCAAAAGGAACATTTGTATTATAAACAGCAAATTTATTGTGAAACCAATGTTTTTTCAGTCCACGCTATCCAGGAAGTAGCTGAAGTTGTGCCAGAAATCTCTACTGTGTTTAAATATTAAACTACCTGACAGTACATGTAGATACATGCAACAGAAAGAGAGGGGCCATTATGCATAATAAGTATTATTGCTATTGAACTTGTACTGTTAATGATGGCATGTAGTTTTCATGAAGAATAATAAAGTGTTTTAAGTTGACAATGTAACAACTGTCCAGGGACTAAAGATGAAAAATAGTCTTGGCTAACTCTGACGCATTTGCATCTATGCTTATTATTGTGCACTGTCCCTGCTAAATTAAATAAATATAAAAATGAACAGTTACTGACACATCTAAATGGAATGCAGCAGTCATTGTTATGAATTCCTGAGCTTTTTCTGCTATGATAACATCTGCTGACAAAAGAACTATGGAGGAGTTTTATCTTGAATGGAGTAAATTTTACATTGTAGTATTTCTACTTTTACTCAAACAAAGGAGTACTTCTTGCACCACTGCTTTTATGTAATATATTGTCAATCATGTGTTTTACTCTTAAATGCTTTTGATCAGAATTATTTACCAGAACACTATCACCACCACACATCTATCATTACAAATTTACTTAACTTAAATATTGACATAGCCTTCACTGCTTCCATTCCCTCCATGGTGGATACCTGGAAATTCTAAGATTGTAAGCCCAGTTAAGTAACTAAAAGCAGCATTTGAGCTGCGTGGCTGTCTTGATTAAGTGTTTGGAGGTTTTCTATTTTGTAGATGGAAAGTTAGATTTTATTACTACTGACACACTAAAGTACAACAAACTTCCTTTAAAAAGGCACAACTAATGCCACCCTTGTTGGACACTGGCTCACATCATACTGTTAATGATGTATTATTAAATTAATATCTGGCTCATATACACAAGGAAAATATCTGGTAAAGTACTTAATGATAAGTTAAACTGGCTCATCTAACTTTTTCACAACACATTTCAGTTTTTATGGCTACACCAGCATGGACCACACTGTATATAACACAAAAAAATTCATGACATAGACTCAATGGGGAAGTAGGTATAGTTTCATAACTCTACGTTCTAGCTATTGACCACAGACGTTTGTCTGTTTAGAAGCTGTCACCACAATAAGTTCTCTTAGTGCACATTAATTTCAAACTACCAAACCACAGATTAAGTAAAGTGTAATTACCAGTGAGATAATTCTGGCAAATGTCCTTACATGAACATGCAGTGAGGGCTTTTTGACAGCTTATTATACAACCTGTCCTGTTGTGGGTATGTGCTTATTACACAGCTGAGTGGAATTTCCAGCCGTTCCGCAGTCATTGTATTCTAGGAGCCACAAGGAAGAAGCCACTTACAGGAAAACAAAAGATATACCTTTCAAAAGCAGCTGAGAGGAAGCAAAGAAAAGAACTGGGGTGTTGCATGTAAGAGCTATGTCATGAAGTCCGCTCATTACTATTTACTGTATACATTTAAGATAGTCCGTCATACCAATCACAAAAGTGATTAACTGTATGTGTACAGTTAAAATTAACCAAAAACACAGATTTTAGAGTTAAAAAGGGCTCATCAAAAGTCTTAAGATCTTCTTTCACTCAAATTTTATCTAGAATTCATATTGCTCTCTCTGTTTGCATGTGTGAGATGTCTTTTGTGAAGCTTTGTGATAAACCTGGAGCTACTAGTGCACAAGAAAATAGCAGACAGAGTTTATTATCTAGAGTTTGGGTGTGTACTTATCATACATATCATTAAATCCCGTAAACACAGGGTAAAACCTCCCCAAAATTCCCTCCCCAGAAAAGAGCACAAACTGTCCTGAGTTTTTTTTGTTTTTTTTCCTCATTTTATTACAAAATAAATGAACTGCTTACATTAACTAGACAGGGCAGTGTGATTGAACATCAACGAAAAGAAATAGTTTACTATAGATTAAGGCTTATGATGAGATAAATAGAGAAAACTGTTTCCCAACAGCAAACCTTAAAAAAAATCAAAAAAGATGAAGCTGCATTTTGTGTTATATATTACATTTTTATATGGGCTACCAGTTTTCAACAAATAGGACGGATGTGATAAGTTTGTCTTTGTAGGACTCCCTTTTACATTAAATGGGACATTCCTTTTTTCAGCCTCTGATTGCATTCCTCAAGTCTTTCTGCGAGTAAAACGAAAAGCCACATTTTCAGAGATATAAACACGTTGCAATAAAAATGCAATCAAAGCACTACTAAAGTTTGAGAAACTATGAAACAAAGCAATTTGCAATGTTCCATTTCTAGCCATTAAAACTAGGTTTATGTGAGAGGTAGAATTTCCGATAGACATTGAACATATTGATAGAAAGTTTGGCACTCACACTAAGGTGGCTTTTGCTGTAACCCCTCCAGAGGCATGCGAAAAGAAGCAAAGTAACTGAGCCAATGACTTAGAAACACAGATTTTGTGTTGAATTATGCAGAATCACTCTCTCAGAGGAAAGTAAGAATAATATGTTGTGCATATTTGTCTAGATAATGGATAAATACAGATCAAGAATCTACTACAAAACTTCAGCTCTTTTTTTGTTTTTTTTTTAAATCAAAAGGTTCCAGCCGCAGTGAGGCTCTAGACAATTTTAGGATTGTTGTTCAGCCTATGATTCAGGACAAAACCACCGACCTCCCGGAGATCTGGATGTCATCAAAAGGAAATAGAGCCAGAATCTGAAAGAAAAGGATACAAAAAGGTCACAGTTCACTGATTCCTTTACTAATGGGCAATTGCTCTCCTCGCCAGATGGTAAAAAGTGAAATGACACAACAGTATTTATTTAAGTATTACTGGTGAAGTCATAAAAGTAAATGCTGTTCCAAGAGTGGAAACTTAAAGGAAAATGCTGGTGTTATTTAATATTTTTGTTGCTGTCAACAAATCCCATGAAAAGACTGCAAATCAACAATGTGTCTATCATTCACACTTTGACTTCTCTACACTGTCACTAAGCCACTTTCTTTCTAAAAACAAGTGAAAGTAAATAGTTACATTTTCTAAAAAGGTTCAGTAATTTCCTGAAACAGCTAGTCACTGTAGATTTTAGCAAATGTTACTCAAACAGGGGTAAAATGGGTATTTGTTGGGGACTACTTTCAGCTGCGTATTAATACACACGAGTATTTATGACGGCAGAATGGTGTAAGTAGAATTGACTGTAGGATAAAAAAAAAAACTTTGCCCATGTAAATATAAAATATGTATAGTGATCCATCCTAACAGCAGTGTTTCCCCTATATGTATTCAGCAGCGGTGCACCGCCGCTCCTGAATCACGACCGCCGCTACTAAAATTTCCCACGATCATTTAACTATGCGCTACAAATGTTTTTACATTCACACCGCGAGCACGACAACACTCAATGCTTGGCTCACTTCTTCTCCTCGTTCTATGCAGAACATCTACGTGACAGATGAGAGCAGCGCAACTCCCGTAAGGAATCAGGAGGTGCGTAGCGAGTGTTTGATTGTCTAAGCGGCAGAAAATAGCGGTGACCGCGAGCGCAGGAAAATACTCTGGCAATAAATGTACTGTGTCGGTTACAGCGTGTCAGCTTCTGAAGAACAAGTTAAGTTTGTCTGTTGTTTTCCCACCTGCTGGAAAAGTGAAGCCTGTTAGCGCTAGCTAACTTTTCCCCTCCCCTTCAGACTGCGCAGCTGGGCAGGAAAGCTTCTACAGCTTGGCTAAACTGGTGTAGCCTACAGCTCTGTCCTGTACAGAGGACGGAGGTGACTGGAGGAGCTGAGGTTAGTAAAGCTAATTAGTGATGCAAACTAGTCCTTTTAAGCCAATGAGGAGACGTTTCTCTTTGGATTTTAATGTGCAAATAAAATGCAGCTCAGGAGACTGTTTCTCATACTGCCTATTTTTTATATAAATGTCTATACAGATAAATGTCAAAGGCTGTAAAATGAAGACACAAAAGGCAAACATGGACAGTCCTATCTATAATGATTCTGAGGTCACATTAACAGGGTTTTCCTGCCGTTGTGGAGAGCATCATAACCAACCAAATTACTTTTCACAAATCTAATGGTTGTAGTTCCTCCAGTAGACTGATCTTTGGGTGTTGGTTATTTATTATCTGCTCTAGCTTTTCCAACTATTTGTTGAAAATAAAGGCCCAGTATGATGTGAAATTACATATAAAACTTTCTTGGGGAGGACCACCAAACCCCCCACCTAGACCACCACCAAAACCTTAATCTAAAGCTCACATTAAACTATGGGAAAACACTGAACTTTTAAGCTATTCTAATGTGCATCACATGCTCATGGACACAAGAGCAATGTTGCTGAGACATGTTGTGTTGGGGTTTTATATCGAGACAAAAATTTTGCTTCACCTCCACTGCTACAACTCCATCCTAGGGGAAACACTGAACAGTGTCCATAAATCTACCGGCAACTGTAAATCACAGTTCCTTACATCATCATTTCCGTCAGCCAGATCTAGTGCCGTTTCGTCCTCCATGTTTCGCAGCATTGTGTCAGCGCCAGACTGACAGAGGAGGTTGGCGATGGCGGCGTCCTGTCTCCCCACCGCGAGGTGCAGGGGAGTGCAGCCGTTAAACATGGCAGCGTCCATATTGGCTCCCCTGCTGAGCAGCAGCTTCACTGATGTGACGTCATGCAGCTCAACAGCAAGATGAAGAGCTGTTTTGCCACTGGTTCCTTCCTGTGAGGGGTGTAGATAGAAAATAGTAATGAGAAATTCCAGAGCTACACAAACAGGACATCATCATCAGACAGGTACACTGAATTTTAATAATTTTGATAGTATGATATTTTTCTTCTTCTTGTAATTTTGCTTTCTGCAAGATTACAAGAAAAGGATGCATTAAGTCACATAATAATAATAGTGATGAAGATAAACCGGATGTGAGGCAGAGTGATATGTTTGGCCTGTGATGTAAACTGAGAGGAATGTCAGGGGGTAGTTTTGGGACTGACTGCCATGTTCCCTTCCATCATTAGAAAGTTAAGAGTGGCTGGCCAGCCCAGCCTAATCATATCTCAAATCTAATTATGTCTCCACGAATCCTGCAGGAGGCCCTGGGCCCAGCTCATATCACTATCAGCGTTGCACAGGTGCAGCAGATTTATAGACACAACGTAAGACCAGGCACAGTTTGAAAGGGAAACGTGCTTATAAATACTGGCACATTACTGGATCAAATGAAGCAGAGTGCAGGGCAACCCTAACTCAGATGCTAATTTTTCTTGATTACACACACACGCAAACTGCAGTTTTTATCACCCTCTCCTTCACTCTTTTTCTTCAGTACTTATGTGGAGAGAGATAGTATTTTATGCTGTGTAGCTTAAATCTTATGAGTGGCAGGTCAGAGTTGGGGTCAGCTGGCTGCAGGTAGAGGTTTGAGGACATCAAGGACAATTTAAAGTTCATTTAAAGGTAAATTACATAAAGCTTCTGCATTGTGTTCTGTGGGATGAAGGATTTGGTTTGGATTCACCCTTTAAAGTAGAGCCTTGTTATTAAAAACTGTATTAATCCATATGATGCGATAAAGTAAGGAGTCATTTCACAGACTAACCTGGACATTCAGGTCTGCTCCCTTTTTCACCAGGAGTTTCATAATCTGATGTTGCCTGTTCAGTGCAGCCAAGTGAAGACATGCAAGACCTGCAAGTACACACCTTGTTTGAAATGTGGAAAATGGGGTGCATTTGAGGTCAAAGGTGATTGAAAATTGCATTTTTTTAAAAATGTGTTTTTCTGAATGATAAGCTATAACCACAGACAAATTATGACAGATGATGCACACATTAACATGTGCCTAAATAACAACAATAAATCATTGGCCAATGATGCCCTGCAGCAGTTTGTCTTTTTCCTTACCTCTCCAGTTCTGGGTCTCGAGGACCGGCGCCAGCTTGCTAGGAGAAACCTCTCTGGTCATCTCAGTGGCGCACTCTGTCTGCCCATGCTGGCAAGCCACGTGGAGCGCTGTGTTCCCATCCTGGTCCTGCAGCTCCAGGCTGGCCCCTTTCTCCACCAGGCCCTTCACCACCTCTGTCAGGTTCAGGTAGGTGGCCAGGTGCAAAGGGCTCTAAGGATCGCCAAAGAAAACAGATGCAAAATGCAATCAAAAGTGCATGTGTCTGGTTAAATTAAATACCATTTATTCATCATAACCAATGCACACAGGAACCTTTTTCATATAATAATGAAATAATAGATTAATTAATTTGCAACAATTTAAAAAAGTGAAGCAAAAAAACCCCAAACATTTACTAGTTCTAGCTCCTTAAATGTGATGATTTGCTGTTTTCTTCTGATTTATAACTTGTTAAATTCAATATCTTTTTACTCTCTACATTATTTGTGTGTTTTTTATTTTGTGTGTATTTTGTAGCCATTGACTTTCACCCCCGCCAGTTTTGTTTCATGCATTTCCCAGAATACAGAAAACAGTCCCCAGAGAACAGGCCTGTACCTGTTACATGCAGCTGTTGGTTATATACTGTACATATGAATAAAGAGACAAATTATTCCTCCTGAGAAAGTGAGAGTTGCACCTTCTATCCAAAACAAGTTTTGTGGTTGGACTGCATTCTGGTCTTTTGAGGCTACTGTGGGTATAGAATTTGATACCGCAGCCTGTTATCTATGATGGTGTTAATTTTGAATATCATTTATAATCAGAAATCTGCAGTAAGACTGAATTGCATCTGTGAAACACAATAAAACCACAAAATGCATCATCATTGGCTTTTTTTTTTTTTTTTTTTTTAAATCAGTGTGCAAATGTCTGAGGGGGGATTTTCTTTTAAAAAGATGTCTTCTTGGTTCTTGGTAATGTCTACAAATATGAGCTCTGAGAATGACTACTGAGAGGAAATTAGGCAACCAATATGGACTCAGGTCGAACTGAGTCACGGCGTGAAGTGCTGAGTCTTAACTTCAGATGTTTCCGTTTGAATGTTCTGTCACTTTGCTCTGTGTTCAGTTTTTGCACTAGCATGGCTCTGGTCTGACATCTTGAAGGACAGGAAAAATTCCTCCACCCACAGCCACACAAGGATACACTCCACAGCTCCCTGTGGTTCTATTTCTACAGGAGGTAGAGGAGGGGAGTTTCCATTCAAAGTCCCTTATGCGCTAAGATTGGAACCACCCACAGTGACGTCCCAGAGAGAGGACGGACTGCAAATAAAGAGGAACAACAATTCTCTGGAAGCAGAGATATAAATAATGTCACTGTTTCCACAATCAAGATACTGATTAAAGGGGAAGTCACTTTGGATTGAAAAATTCCAGCAGAAGCTGCAGTTTGCTTGTGTAGTGGAAAGAGTAAAGTTGCACTTACCTGGTATAAATTGTTTTGGATGTCCAGGACCTCTTTTGGGAATAGCTGTATCAACTGTTGAGCGATGAATTGATCTTCATGGATGATTGCTAAGTGCAGGATTCTACAGAAGCGGCAAAGGAAAATAAACATATTTATCCATTATGCTTGCAAAAACTTGCAGTATCGCACATTGAGCAATCGAGAACTACAGTTAAGTGTAAAGAAAAAAAGACTGCATTTCACAATTTTCCTTAGTATTCATCTGAATGGCAAGATTTAGTGGTTGGAGTATTGAGCAATACAACAGTTTTAAAAAAAAGACAGTAGATAGTATTGTAAGCTGTTAAAGTACTTGGGCATGCTAGAACCACCTTACAGAATTTGCAACCTTGTAAAAATTAGTTTAAATACTTAAAGCAAATGACAAAACAAAACACACTAACCTAAGTGCAAACAAATGTGTGCAAAAAGCAGGAAATGGAACTTGTGCTTTATTTAGACTAACCTAGAACAACCCAAAGAAGCCCTCGCCTGTGTGTGTGTGTGTGTGTGTGTGTGTGTGTGTGTGTGTGTGTGTGTGTGTGTGTGTGTGTGTGTGTGTGTGTGTGTGTGTGTGTGTGTGTGTGTATATATATATATATCTATCTATATATATCTATATCTATCTATCTCACACACACACATTTACCGGATTCAAACCAAAGTTAAGCTTCAAATTTCTCAAATGTCTGGATATATATTGATGGCTGAAACTGATGTCCAGTAACAAAACAGCACAAGGAAGTTATTTTAGTGAAGCAAATAGAACACTGTGAAATGTATGTCACTGCAGTTATTGTGCTGTCACAAAAAGGTCACCAGTGAGCTTTTCTTATGTCACAATAAAGGTCATTTGTAATAAATAAATGTCAACTATTCAGAGACAGACAGTGTGGGATCAAACGTTCCCACAAAATCTCACTGCACAGACAGACATTTCATTAAGCCCCCTGGCTTTGAGATAGTCAATGACAAATGCAGATTTCTCCAGTTAAACATACTATATGACCTAAATAAGCAACAAAGCCATCAGTGAGAAAATTGGCTATTTCTATATAGTCAATTCCGGTCAGATAAAGTGTGAAATCAGAACAAATGAGATGTTATGTTTACATTTTCCCCATGGACATATAATTTCCCAGGCAAAGTTTAACTGTGAGTGGTACGCCAGTTAGAAAGAAAGCAGGACAAAAAATGTAATACAAAACAAACAAACCAAACAAACATTAAATGCAACTACAGAATTCCCTTATCAATATGAATAATAAATGACTAATAGTTTATAGTACAATGGATGGCCTTTTAAATGGTTGATCAATAAAAACATGTTTTTTATTTTTATCCGCAACTACATTCACTCTCAATTATCAGATCGAGTCATTTTTTAAGCAAAAATCCCAAACATTAGTGATGTTTTATAGACAGAACAGTTAAATCCAGAAAATGATTAATCCTTAGTTTCAGTCCTAAATATAGCCAGTGTGCAACTTAGTATTTAGGCTACAGGAGTTTTTTTTCAAATTTTACAATGCAACAACAATAAACTGGAAAAAGCTGAAACTGAAAGAAAGCCACAGTTTAATTTGAAATATCTGCGATAAATGGAAATAAATCAATCAATAAATTATCCCAACATTGGTATAAGTGTACTGACAAAGTGTCTCACAAGAAATATGTTTGTTTTTCCACCAATAATGTCATCAGTGACTGAAATAAATGTGTGCAGATTAATGGATATGCCCTACCAGTCAACACTGTGAGCAAACATCTTAGTGTGAAAGGGACTTCCTGGTTTGAGTAAGACTTGAATGAATAAGAACTTTAAAAATCCCACAGGGGAAAAAAATGGTGTTTGCATGATTCTCCGTCAGTCTAAGCAGCTCAGTGTGGCATGTTTCAGGTGTTTTTCAGCCCTCTCCCAGGTATCTATAGTTAGGGTGTGAGAATGAAACCATGTGGCCCCAACAATCGGCAAGCGGAAATGAAAAGAGGTCAGAGACACAACAACACTTCTACAGTCACCGAATTACAGTAGTGGCTGCTGAGTACAGAAGTCATCAGCAGGCCTGCTTTAACATCAAAACAGATTGATGACAGCAACACAAAAATGTGTGGGTAATACAAGAAGATCTACAGGAGCTGATAGGACTGTGTGTGGAGGTTGAGGTGTTTGGATTGTGTGCAAAAAGCAGCAGTTTCATTGAGTCAAACAGAGAACTGAACAGCAGCAAAACAGCCACTGTGACAGGTAACCAACTGACTTTTCTAGCCGTCTACTCCAGTATGGGTGGGAAAACAGAAGGAGAATGACAACAGTTAGTGAAAAGTTGGATCCACCAATAAAAACATGAGCACACGCTGTCCTATCCTGATCAACAAGTTTCTTGGATCAAAAGCCATCCACACTGCTGCCTCACAGCATGTGCTTTGTCTGTGCAGCATGGGGAAGTCCAGGCCTATCTGTTTCACTTCTGTTTTCTCACTGAGACGCCTCACAGAGTCCGTCCACATTCACGGCAAAGACAGGACAAAGTTCATTAAAAAAAACTGTAGCATCACACAGCTATGAAATCCCCTTCAAAACCGGTATCACAGGAACTGTGTGTAGAACTGTGCCTATATGTGTGTTTTAAATTAATCATCTCTAATGGAACAAAAAGCTGCCTGCACATCCAGTAGAGCTGAAACAATATGTCAATTGATCTAAATGCTAGTTTGATGATTGTTAAATCATAAAAGGGAAATTTTTCTGAATAAAAAAAAATGCCAAATGTTCCTTTTCCAGCTTTTCAAATTTGAAGATTTGCTGCGTCTCTCTGTTTTTATCATTTTAAACAAAATATCTGAAGTTTGTTGGTCAGACAAAAAAAAAGACATATGAAGCTGTCCCCTTGGACTTGGGATCTTGAGATCAGCACCCCCCCCCCCCCCCCCCCATTTGTTTGACATTTTGGACTAAGCAGATTAATCAATGATTAAAATAATTACTAGCTGCAGCCCTAAACACCATGGCAACTGATGTTAAAAGAAGACCTCACCTGTGTGCTGACAGTGGTCATTACAGTGACAATTAGGTGCAGAGATAAATGTCTGAGAGCTGATAAAAAAACAAACAAATAAAAACAGTAAATTGCCTCTTTGTCTAACTATGTCAAACATCCTATAGGATCCTGCAGACTACTCCAAGAGATACTTAGCCAACATTATTGGCGAAAAAAATAAAAAAGCATTGTTAAAATTCAAGTCGCATGTTTAAACTTCACCCACCAGCATGCAATAGTGGGCCTTCCAGAAAAGACCCAGGCAAACTCATTAAATATTCTGCTTTTACATAAGAAACAAACAAAAAAACCTACGTGTCTCCATCTTCAGTAATAGTTGTGAGCAAGTTCTCCTCCTTTTCAGAAAGTTCAGAGAGCTGTGCTTGCTCCTCCTTGGCGCTGGAAAGCGTGAAGTCCCCGACTATGTCTGACAGACTCTCCACCGTGATGGACGAGGAGCTGTAGGCTGAGTCCAGGCGCTCCTCCACGGTGGAAAACTTGTCTCTCGGCCCGCTGAAGTCGGCGCTCGGCTCCCGGGGCTCCTCCGACTTCAGTATGGAGCGGTACGAGTCAATGCCAGAGTCTGTGCGTGTATCCTCCAGCAAGTCATCTTTCCTGCAGTCGTCGCTCGCCATGGTGGTGTTTGCCTCTCTGGGTTTCCCCCTCCCTCCTTCCTCGAGGATTCAAAGGCTCCCCTCGCGTGTAGTCGCCGCCCGGTGCTCGGTGATGTGACCTGACTCCGAGGATAGCCTACCGACACCTGAGGAAACCACCGCTCCTTTGTGAAACCAGAGGAACGAGCCGCAGCGTTTCATTCCACTAACCGACGAGACATTATCTCACAGCGACAGGCTCTTTTTTGTATCGATTACAGATTTTTTTAAAGTTTCAAAACATGCTGCGGTCATTCCAGACTTCGTGAAACAGGTTTAAAAACAAGCGAAAAGAACTGAAGCTGCTGCTGCTCGTCGTCTACATATCCGGTGGCAGCACGAGCTCCAGGCGGAGAGCATATGAGCAATGAAACGCGATAAGGGGAAGAGCTGATATGTGAAAGACGAAGCTGTGTTTGTCACGCGGGGGAATCCCCGGTTGCGCGTGAACGAACACAAACGACCATTGGAGGAGCATGTGCGGTAGTGGTAAAAGCGATACAATTTTCAAAATAAAACATTTCAAGATTCTAAATTCAAGATTCCTTTTATTGTCATTCAAGAAAAACACAGAAATATGTCCTATATGAACGAAAATTACGAGCACGGCTCCTTTAAAAACACTATTATAAAATAAAATAAAATAGAGCTCCATGTTAAAATCTATATATATAATATATATAAATACCGGATAAAAAATGTTCTTCACTCTATTTATGCACACAATTCTGCATTGCACATAAATAAATAAATAATATTGCACATTTCAAGTTTAGTGGTGTGTGGTTGTGTTCAGCATTCTGATTGTAGCCAAGCTGTTTTTGTACCTGGCAGTGCTGCAATGCAGACTGAGGTATCTCCTGCCCGAAGGCAAAAGGGAGAACAGGCTGTGACATTTACAATTTTTTACAGCATTTGATCCCCATTAATTTCCATGTAATATAAAATCAAGAAGTAGGGACTTAACACTTTTAGGCTAACAACAAAGTATTTCCCTGCCAGAATTGTATTCCTGACAGTGAAAAAAGCTTTGAAACAACATGTAGATCCTCATGTTGGGACATAAAAGTTGTAGGCTACACCCATATATATAAGTCAACAGCAGGCATGTTCAAGTGCTCATATTTGTGACTTAAGTCTGATATGAGTATCAATTTTTTTTTGTTCATCAAAATAACAGAACAAACAGTTTCTCCCTTAAACATCCCTTCAGTTAACTGTATTTCTCAACAACACATGTTCAATCCATATGAGTTTTATTTTTTAAGTTAAAACCGGAAGTCCTCACGGTAGCAGTCACTGGTTGCAGCCATGAAACTACACATACTTTATTATTCAATTGGATTTTAGGCCTTTTTTTTCTGAAAAGCTGCTAAACCTGAACTTGGTTTATAGAAATTTTGTCCAGTTTAATTTGACAGTGACATTGAACAATCATCAATTCTGCAATGTGTGCTCTGTGCAACTGCAATGTCAATCTGCACTTTGAGGTACATTAGCCTATTACAAAGCTCCACAATATGCATAGTTGTTTTGCATGCGTGGGAGCTCCAACCTCTTTCCATTGTTACAATCAAACAATACCTTTATTGGGAACAAAATGCTAATATTTGTCCTGTAGTTTCCATCTCTGGCCAACGCCTGTATACAGCAGAACACAATATGTGTGAGCAGAGCTAAAAAAAAATTGACCTCACAAAAAGTTCAGGAATAACCCAGCTATCATTTCTTGTATCCTTTACCATCATGGAAATGCTTGTTGTGGTCTAGCCTTCACAGGGCTCACTTACACACTTTGGCTACTGCTCTCTGCTCTGAGAGGGCCAGATTCATCATAAATATAGTGTATACAATAAGAGTGACTGTCAGAATGAAACCTTTACTGCTGCCAAGAGCTGCCATGTGTTTTCATGTCAAGTACTGTTGTTTACATATTCAGCTGTATGCCAGCAGTCCAGTCCAATGTCCATGCGGTGGGATAAACAACTTATATTGTAAGGTAACAAGTTTCGGTGCAAATAGTTTTGTTTACAGAGGACCAGGAACCAGAAATGGCAGGAATGCAGAATATTATTTCATACATTCTTAATATTTTCTTTAGATGTTCTTTCTTATATTTCACTTTTATTGTATTTTATGACTGCATCCCCTTTTAGTTTGGTTTGAAAGGGATGTCAGTCTCCAACATTTTCTCTGCATTTTACTATCTTATTGTAAATTATATATCTTATCTTATAATTATGTATATTAATAATTTATTTTTAATGCCATGCAGCACAACAATACCCAAACTATGGCCTCAAACTATGGCACCAACACTTCTCAACCAAAACATGAACGTCACAAAATAAAAAATATATATGCATTATATTGTTTTCCCTCCTTGCATGCCTGTGCTGCTCAATAGTAAGTTTACTGTGGAGGCTGAATTTCATGTTTTCAGCTGATGGGATGCAGGGGGTGGGTTCCTCTCTGCAGCTCCGCCTCTGTGTAGCCTACTGTTTGGATTTTCTTGGATGTGTGTTATTTACTTTGTAGTGTTGGGGTGGCTGCCCACACGTGCCGCTGCCAGTCTTCTTTGTCCTGCTTCACAGCTTCACTGGCTGCCATGGGCACTGCCTACGGGGAGAGGAGCTGACTGCTTTGCCATTTCCTAATATTGCATCCCATGCAGCAGTCTTCACCAGCATCTAGTCGTTGCATCGCGGGAGGAGTCTCAGCCTGTTTTGCGCGTCTTCCGTGGCACAATGACCGGATTCCCGTAGGCGATACCCAGCGACGTCTGCCCACCTGGAAGATGCTGAGATGAAGCATCTTTTGAGCGTTTCCTTTTGGGCTCCGGCCGGACTTCTTTCGTTTGGATGATGCGCAGAGGGGTTCTCGGTGTCTTTATGTTTCACCCAGATTTGGAAACCCCCCATCCCATCAGGAGATCCATGCCACGAGTTTTGTACCGTTGTCATCATGTCCCCAGCATCGGCTGCAACGGCCAGTGAAAGCAGCACCACCACCGTCCCCGAAGAGGAGTCGGACACCCCCCGAGAGGAGGTGAGGGCACATTGTTTACAATACGTAGGTCAATTTTGTTATGGGGGGCAACGTCACCCTTTAATTAGTTTGACATATTTCATGGATAGCATAGTGGAATCCCAGTAATCTCAATATAATAATCAGATTTTGCAGATTGAGGTGATTGGGGCCAATGTTGGCCTACTAGGAAAACTTGGGAATTAAACCGGATTTCTAATGTGATTGCAATTGTAGGCTATAAATGGCCTAATATGAAGTAGGCTACATGGACCTTTGCAACATGCATGGATGTATTGTCTCCTGTTTGTCTCCCCTCCAGACAAGTGGTTTCCAAAATGTGGTTCAGGGACCTCTTTTGTGGGTCTTGGAAAATGTCCACTAAAATCACTGTTAGGCGGGTTAAGATTATTAGCCATTATAAGAATGGCTGTTTTGTTCAAATGTTTCCACACAGTTATTTTCCCATAATAAAACTCCTCACAGGAACAACATCTGCGTGGGTTTGTATGTTAAACAATCTTGCTTTAGACAGTGAGATAAACTCTCTGTGTGGGCAGACATAACATCCCAAAAATTTACACCACTAAAACAGACACACCATCAAAAATGTTGCCTGCATGGGGAAATAGGGAATATTTATCAGTATGTTTTACCTTTTCTTTAGTACCGCTTTTCTTGACTTCCCCTACAAACACACGTTGGACAAGTTACATATCCATTACACAAGAGGGTTTTTATATAACCAAGCTGGTCTTATTATGTCAAGAGAAAGTGTCCATGAGTGTGAGAGGCACCACGGAGGTCTCATGAATTGTGAAGCTTCTCTAGTCTTGAAGGTTCCTACTGAAACATTTATTTTCTTAAATATTATTTATATTTCACAACAGGCTGTTTTATAGAGTCTATGTAGAAACAACATTCAGTCCATTCTAAGGCTCTTTTATTTTGGAAATTTAATGTTAAAGCATCCATAGTGTAAGTGTTTTAGTCAAAGCCTGGAAGCCTGTAGCCTGGATACACATTATTTGCTTTCTTCAGGACAGTACAATCCAGTACAACACAACTGGAACCAAATGTCAAAAATTATAGTAAAGCCTCCAGCTGACTGAATCTCAGCGGCATTTTGCACCATAACTGTGACAAATACAAATCTATATTGGTACAATTTAGAAGCAGCTTTTAATTCCAGCAGTACAGATTCAAATTCAACTGTAATTGTTCTGCAACCATACGCTAAATTTTCAATGCAACTTTTTTTCCTGCTTCATCAAACCCATGCTGGGAATCAAAAGCACAGGTGGTATTTCCTCTCATCATTGGGTGTCTCTGCATGACATGTGAGGTATTCCCCTTGTGTGCTTAATAAGAGGTCAGAGGAATTTTCTTTGTCTAATGTATCATTAACGTCAGCACCACTGTGTTCATGTGCTGAGTCACTTCCTTCCTTTTGTGCGATCGATTAGGGCTAATGAACAGCTCTGTTATGATATCAAGCAGGGAGTCTTTAACTGAAAATGCCATTTGTTTTGTGATAAAATACCTTCTAGTCATATCTGGTATAATTAAAGTAAAAGTTAAGGGTGAAACTGTGTGACTGCTGTTTCAAGATTATATTTGCTTCTTTAATTTAACTGCATGTTTCTGATCAAATATTGCCACGTACAGGTATGTTTTCTCATCTCCTGTTCATCATTATCCCTGCTGATTAAACAGAGACTGTAAAGTGTAACATGAGCCACAAAGTATGTCATGTTGTATTGATTATAGGTGTCGAGCGTGCACAGGATGCTATAGCGTGTAAATACTCCTTCTGCAGCATCTCAATGGGGAATTTCAATGTTAATCCCTTTTACCCCATGGGGCGTAGCCTTGGTTTGGTAAGGGACTTGGGGACCATGTGACCAAGGTGGGGAAGATAATCATGGTGAAAAGACATCTATTATTTATGCTCGTCTGTCACTTGGAGAGCACAGAGGTGACATGTTGAATTCAATATATCAATGCAGTGATGCTGTTGTTGATTGTTGTAGTCACACGAATGCATGGGCTGACCTATAGACTGTCCTATGTAAGAGATGGAGATTTTTTTAACTGAATCAGTGCTGCTACATTACAGCAGTCTATACACAGGGGACTCTGCCCTGGTGCAATTTCTGTTATGCAGTTTTTTTAATGAACTGTGTTAAAATTCATCCTTTCTGGAGCTTTTGAATCATTGCCAGGTTTGTGTGGCTGCGTTCCCAAAAGGGCATGACTAGCTCTTGATGCAGGTGCTGGGGCTTGCTGTGCCCCGCGGTGATAAAGGATGGCATCAAACAACTGCTTTTTTTTCTGGCTGGCTTGACATTAAATGTGGAGGCTATAACCCCTCAGAATATTTCTGTTCTTTTACTCCTTTTCTATTCTCAGATATCATGTTTGTATAAACACACACACCATGGCCATGTGCACACCCACACATCAGTCAAACAGACACTCACAGTCCTCCTTACTGACAACAAGGTATATACTTGTACTTTTGCATTAATCAGACATTTTTATTGAATTTATATTTATAAGACGGGGTGAGTCTCTTCATATTAACAAGCACAGGCCAAGACGTGAGCAATTGGTTCACAGCTCATGCATAAACTATGCAAAAGCACTTACAACACAGAATATTTTCTTAAATATTTTATATGGACGAGCCACTGCTTTTGAACTGTTTTTAAATTTATACCTAACAGACATTTAGGTCATACTTATGTTCATTAATACAATAACAAGTGTGTAATTGCAGGTAATATAACCCTCTGAAAGCTATATCACTTCTAGGAAAGAATGTAAGCATTATTTTACCAATGTTCAATTACTATGTTGAATATATATATTTACAGTATTGTTCCACTGATTTATTGTTGTTTTCTCATCTTCTTTTTAGCAGCGGCCCCAGAATCAGTCCCTGACTAAATCATTGTGCCAGGAAACGCACTGGAAATGCCTGCTGCTGTCCCTGCTGATGTATGGCTGCGTGGGGGTGATCGCCTGGTGCCAGGTGACCAAGGTCACGCGCCTCTCCTTCGATAGCGCCTACAAGGGAAAGTCTATGATGTATCACGACAGTCCCTGCTCCAACGGCTACATCTACATCCCTTTGGCCTTCCTGGTAATGCTCTACGTGGTCTACCTGGTGGAGTGTTGGCACTGCTACACAAGAAACGAGCTGCAGTACAAGGTGGATGTGGACAGTGTTGCAGAGCGCATCCAACGAATGCAGCAGGCCACGCCCTGCATCTGGTGGAAGGCCATTAGCTACCATTATGTCAGGAGGACGCGACAGGTGACACGCTACCGCAATGGAGATGCCTACACCACCACACAGGTCTACCACGAGCGAGTCAACACCCACGTGGCTGAGGCGGAGTTTGACTACGGGAACTGTGGGGTTAAGGACATCTCAAAGCACCTGCTGGGCCTGGAGGGGTTCCCCATGACCAGGCTGAGGTTCACCAAGTGCTTCAGCTTTGCCAATGTGGAGTCAGAGAACTCCTATCTGACCCAGCGGGCTAGATTCTTCACAGAGAATGAGGGCCTGGATGACTACATGGAGGCCCGTGAGGGGATGCATCTGAAGAATGTAGACTTTAAGGAGTATATGATTGCCTTTTCTGACCCTAATCACCTTCCCTGGTATGCATCCAACTCCACTTTCTGGACGGCAGCTGCTTTCACCCTCTCCTGGCCTCTGCGGGTGCTGACAGAGTACCGCACTGCCTGTGTACACTACCACATAGAGAAGCTGTTTGGCTTCGACTATGTGCCAGTAACACCCTCTGAGGAGCGGCCGTATTGCCGACACATCCCACGAGTCAACACAATCGACAGCACGGAGCTGGAGTGGCACATCCGCTCCAACCAGCAGCTGGTACCCAGCTACTCAGAGGCAGTTCTCATGGACCTGGCCCAGCTCTCAGGGAGTTCCAACAGCTACTCCATGTGCGGAGGCTACGGTAGCTACAGGCAGAACTGTGAACGCTGCCACCGTGCCATCAGCAGCTCTTCCATCTTCTCTCGCAGCGCCCTCAGCATCTGCAACACGGGGAGCCCCCGCATCCCCTTCAGTGCCAGCCGCTTCTCGCTGGGTCGGTTGTACGGCTCCAGGCGGAGTTGCCTGTTCAGGAGCAGCGGGAGCCTGAATGAGCAGCCCTGCCCCACAGAGAGCACACACTGCCTGTCAGGCCAGCAGACCACTGAGGAGAACCCTCCAGCCTACCAGGACGCTCTGTACTTCCCAGTGCTCATTGTACATCGCAACGAAGGCTGCCTCAACCACGACCACCGCTCCCTGCACAGAAACGGCTCCTGTGTGGAAACTTCTCTATGACCCACCTGAGCATAGGGATATTAAGCTACAGCAACAGGGTGAGAGACCTTTTTACACCAGGGTTGGGCTAATATTGACTTCTGTTTGTCACTTTTACAACAGGGACAGTTATGACAAACAAGGATTTGTTCAAGTTTCTAAAAATGCTGTCCCTCAAACAAACAGAAAATGAAGATTATCTGGGAAAGTCCTTAGAGTACAGTCAATAAGTCAGGGTAAAACAGACTTGATGCTATTAATGAGACTGTTGTTTAAAATACAATGCGCCTTTAAAGGACCAAACTGTCAAAGTGTACTGTCCTGTGGCGTTCATAAGGACAAGAGTCCTAATAACCAAGGAATACCAAGGGGAGTCACTTCCTACTGTAAATGCCATGTTTGTAGATCTTAGTCACGGACGATTTACAAGGACGAGTAACAAGTATTTGAAGCCTAACATAGGTTTTGACTCAGCAGTCGCCTAAGAAATTGCCAAGAAATGAAAGGGATATGACAATTAATGGACGCCTGAATAGGAAATGAAGAAATATTGGGGAAAATCATAGACTCGCACATCATGTGGGTCATGTGGATTGGCTGAATTATGAGAGAAAATGCAAAGATATCAGCCTCCTTGTAAAAGCATAATTAACATGACTAAAAATAAATTTTATGGCTCTTATAAAGTGAAGCCACCTTTATCTAGCAGCTAAACGTCTGCATGTGAAACTGGGCTCATGGAAATGCATTTAAAAAGGGACACATTTCCATAGTATAAAAATCAATGTCTGATACAGATGCTGAAGTAGTAAGTTATTTGAAATCAGCTTGGTTGCAATGACATTACACTTCCCGGCTTGCTAAATATAGCAACGTAGATGATAAATAATTTAGCACAGGTGGGCTAAAACACTTCTTCAAACAGTTTCTTAATTACTATAAACTGTACATTTTGTATAATGGCCAACTACGTAGTAATAAACTCACCATAATATAAATAGATCAGTGTCAGTTCAGCTAGTTTAAAAAAGATCTGTTTAATTTAATATTTGGCAATATTTGTATTCAGCCTACCTCTTTATTTAAGTGCCTAGCGATCAACTGTTACTGACAAGCATAAGCTATTATAACTGAAGTCATCTCATCTCAACATCTTCCTATTAAGACCTGATCTCATTGTTGTTTAAAATTTGCAGGGTTTTAAGAATCAGGCCCTACATGTTTTCCAGATGATTTTCCTCATATTATAACACAGCTCTCGTATAACCTACTGATGTTGCTGCTGATGCATATCAGAGAGACAGCCAGAGAGCTGGCCATCAAAGACGGTAGAAACAGGCAGAGGCCTGGATTCACTACTGATAGTGTCAGATTTAATAATATGACAGGATTACTTCAAAGAACAACAAAAAATACTCCCTCTCAAATGAGTGCACGCATGGTGAATTTTATCTGCAGTGAAAGATAAACTAGCATGGATCGTTTCCCACCATTAAGACCAAGAAAACCATTAAAATGTCTAAGAATAGTAAATATAAGAATATTTCCTGTGGTCTGACATTTTGCATCAACTTCTTGTTAAAACTTGTCTGTACATTAATGAGCCTGTATTGTAAATTGTGACCAATTAGCCATACTAATTACATTCCATGTGTGGTGTTTGGAATTACGGAATAACTTTATAGCAATACTAGAGAATAGACACAGATTCTATCAACCCTTACATTTCATTCAACAGTGAATGAAAACATTCTGTAAACTGTTTTAAACTGTTTTCACAGCTCACAGGCCATCTATGCAAGCCCCTAAAACTCAGGATAGTATTCAGGGCAAAGAGTCTGCTTTGCAGAAACATCTCAACACCTGGTCATCACTTCTTAGGTTCTGGAAGCAGTTATGCAGACATTTTATTTTGCATTTTCAAAGGCTTCAGCTGCGCAATCACCGGATTGTTTTTTAATGAGGGGTTTTGCAAACACAGGATGCTGAACCAAACTGTCATACTGTAACATTAACTAATTTTCCCATTGCAGAACACAGTGGGCAAAATACAGGATTGTAGTTGCACTAGCTATTCGTAAATCCATTTCTAAATCCTTCCAAAGTTCTTATTGACAACTAGCTAGTTTAAAGGGATTTACTAAATTGGGTTGAGCCATTAGAACTTAAGGAATGTCTTAGCAAGTAAAAACCTTTGTAATGTGTAAGTTGGTTAACGTAACATAACACTAAATATAATTATATCAATTTGAATTGCCAATCTTTTGTAGGCCTACATGTCGATATGTGTTTCAGAGTTAGTAGTATCGATGCAATTTAGACTGAGTTGGAAATTAGTTGTTTAGTAATTTAGTCAGTAAGCTAAACTAAATTGAGGTATTTTGACTTGTTTTTGTGAAATATAATAATTACATATTTATCCATCATTATTATATTATTTTACTAACAAGTTGGTTTAGTCAGTTGGTTCAGTAACAGCTACACTTGGCAGTTAGTTGGTGAAGATATTTAGAAACAACTAATCTCTACTTAAGAACTAGTTTGTGTGGTGCAACCCTTTTTAATTTAGTGTGTAAATTAATGTGTAACTCTCCACTGAGTTATAACACAGCCAAGTTTGAACTTCCGAATAGCCGGGGCAACCGACTCCAGGTCCAGGTGTTCACTACACTTTTGAGATTTTGGGAAATATGCTCATTCGCCTTCTTCCCAAGAGTCAAATGAGGGGATCAATGATCTGATGTCTGTACGGCTAGTAAGAAGCTACTGACAGCAGCCGGTTTCCTTAACATAGCATAAAGATTGGAAATGGGAAAACTGCTAGCCTGAACAAAATCCAACTATCAGCATCTCTAAATCTCAATTGTTGATTCTGTACAAAAACTGAACCGTAAAAATATCAAGTTATTATTTCACACGGGTTATGTGTTGGACGTGTTAATTGGCAGATTTTGTTTCCTTACATTGTAGCCATTTCCCCCTGTTTCCAGTCTAAGCTAAGCAAAGCTAATAAAGCTAGCCTTATATTTACTGAACAGATATAAGAGTGGTATTGAACGTCTTATCTCAGCAAGAAAACAAGTAAGTGTATGTCATGAAATGTCAAACTATCCCTTTAATGGTTTATGGGTGGTGTATTACCAAAAGAGAAGTTAGGGATTGAAATTAATTCATTAATTCATTTAGTTTCTTTGTGTAGTCCCATCATGTACTGTCGGGTAACGTGTAGGACCATAAGGAAACCACAAGGAAGAGCATGTAAATTCCTCAACAGATTAAATATGTACTGAAACATCTATCTTGTATATCATTTTGGATTGTAGTTGCTGTTTTATACTTAAGTCATTACCTTTGCTCATTCATAATTAGCCAACAAGCCTCTCTGTGGCTTCACTGTGATACCCATACAGTCATTGTAAGAGGAGAAAAAATGTGTTTACCGGTGAAATGTTTACGTAACAGCAGTGACAAAAAACGATTTGGGGTATTCAAACGGTTATAAATCTGACTGGAAGGTTCATAACTACACATTTTTCCTCCACAGATGACTGTTAGCATAAAGCACTGAACCCTTTATTGTGTATGAAGTAGATTAGGTTGTTATGATATGTACTCTTTCACTCAAGAATGCTCTGGGGTTTGTCTTTTTATATTTCAATAATTCTGTGGATTTTTCAAGATGGTAGGGCAGAAAGGATTTGTATTGTAAATAAAATAGAGATGAGAGGTTAGAATGACAGTCGATGTGATTAGCTGAATGTGTCACACACACTTAGAAGCAACTGAAGTAGGGGCATTTTTGATTTACAGATTTTAAATGGTGAGTTTTTTAAGTGACAAATGGCAATATAATCTGTTATGAAATGTTTCAAGCAACACAGCCAACAGCATCTTTGTGCTGCTTTTCATTTACTATTTTAAATGATTTTTGTTTCCATTTAACCCCATTTTTAAATCACATTTGATACACCTTTATTTAATGTCAAAATGATCAGACTGACACTTCTTTTTAAGGAAAATGGTTGAGTGATTATTGATAGAATAGCTTTGCCTCTCTTCAAAAACATTTTGCAAGCTAAGAAACTGGGAAAACGTGACATTAATTACACTAAAGATGTTGCTGCAAATGTGATCCTACTATACTATTAGCCAGTAGATAATAGGTAAAAAAAACAACACAAGTCTGTATGTATTCAAACACCACCACAACGTTGCCTTGATGTTACATAAGGACTGAATACCAAATCTGTGTATCAAAATGGAAAAATGGCTCCTCAATAAACTAAAATACTCACTAAAATATGTGTCAAAAATTACTTCAAGTGTTGGCACATCCAAAAACAATGTCAGTAAGTGATGTTTTGTGTCTTGTAAACAGGATATGTGGTCTATAAGCATGTGACAAATATGCTGATGAGATATATAATCACTGTTTTTGTGCTTGTAGTTTTTACGCATGTTGTTTTGTTTGAGGTTATGGTTATAGCACAGGCTTACAAAACTACAAATGTTTAAAGCAGCAACAAGAAAACAGGTAGATAGTAGAGACATCCGGGTGTGAAATCACATCATTTACATTTTATTATATGTGGACAATATACACCAACAAATATCAAAAAGAGCACAACAATGTAAAGCTGATTAATGCTAAGCATCCTGGGGTAAATGTCCCCTTACAGCAACACTTACTATGAACAACAGGAATTTTGTGGTTTTTTTGTGTGTGGTAAAATTTAATTAAAAATCAGCTGCTTTAGTTTGAGGTGCAGTGTTGGCATATTGTGGCCGTGCAACATGGCTACTGTACATAAATAGAGGGAGGACTAATAAAGATGGGTTTGTATTACAAAAAGGAGCGGTTTACTTTGTATCTACTTCGTTTTCCTCTCTTGAGCATGTCTCTGGTTGGTCCAAACCACCTGGTTAATGACAGAAACAGTGCGCTCATCAACCTCGGTCAGACGGATATCACATTCTGTTAAGTTGGTGTTGTGAGACATCGCTTCCTCCAGAGCTTTACCTCCATCCTACACACACAAACACACAAACAGAGGGAGGGAGAGAGGAGGTCCAAAGACAGTCCTGATAACCTTGAAAAATCACCCTTCGGCTACTCTTGCTGTCCGAAATAGCACACACTTTCTAAACTGCTTATTGCAAGTGTCAACAGTGTTTTATTGTTGTGTCTGAAACAGGCATTTCTATTTTTGTGAAGAGCAGAAGAAGGTCGCATATACTGATGGTACTGCACGTTGCATTTCTGCTATGTGGGCGATTTGTGATCCTTCGCAGTGTATTCCAGTCAGAGATACACTGTACAGTGAAATCTTAAAGAGAGTAGGAGAAGGGGAAACATTTGATCTACCTCTCAGGGGGAAACAACACTTACTTTCCATTATTGCATGTTTTCCACACATAACTATTAATAATTGAAAATCCTTGTCCTGTCTGCTTGTCTACCCAGGCACTAGCATGCTTTGGTTGTGGAGGAAACCCAGTGTTTCAAAATAACCCAATGTTTCAAAGTGCTTTTTCAGATAACATTTTACACAAAGAAATACTAGCCGTGCACATTCTTATAGTAAAGAACACAATTTTATAGGGTAACTCAAATTCTGTATTCATGCTACAGCTTGACAAATATTGTAGGACTATGTTCATTGGTATTCATAGCAATTTGCAAATTATTTTGTCAATTAGTCATGTAATCTATAAAATGTCAGAAAGCTTTGCTAGAGCCCAAGTTGACATATCTAAATTAATTATTTAAAAGCCCCTAAATATTAAGTTTATTATAATAAGAGATTGAGAAACCAGGATGGAATCAGTAACTGTTTTGTATTTTTGCTTGAAATTGACTTAAATGATTAACTGATAATCAAAATTGTTTGCAATGAATTTTCAACTGAACAACTAATCCATTAATCGCCAAATTTCTTTGACGCATTGCCATGAAATTCAGAGCATAAAGTTGAATGACTTTGGTGATCGCAGACTTTTCCAGAATTCTTTTGCCTACTTCAGATCATGATGGGATAGTTATGACCAGATTTCCATCAGCTGCAGATGTACTGTAAGATTTAATGTTAGCCCAAGAGCACCTGAGATTTAACAAAACACATTTGACAAATTTTGAGAATGCAATGTCCTAAAATTGCCACAGTACAGAGTTTGAACGTTGTTGATACAGGTGACAAGGTGGCCCTTATACTTCATATGTATTGCCCCGCTAGTAGTAAGAATCTAAGAACAGCAATTTACTTACCACACCCAGGTTGTTGCAGGAGAGATTGATGCTCTGCAGGGTGTCATTCTGAACTAGCACTTTAGACAGCGCAATGGCAGTAGGCCCCGTCACCTCATTGCCTCCCAGGTGCAGGTGAAGTAGGGTGTTGTTGTTCAGCAAGGCCTTGCCGATAGCCTGACCTCCCTCATCTCTCAAACGGTTGAGACGCAGGTTGAGGGATAAAAGGGTAGAGTTCTTGGACAAGGCATGAGCTATAACTTTGGCTCCCGTGTCTCTAATGTTGTTGTCGCACATGTTCAGGGTCTCCAGTGTGCTCCTGGTGAGCAGCTTGCCAATGGCTCTGGCTCCTTTGTCTCCGATCAGGTTGTGAGAGAAGTCAAGCTCTCTTAGAGACGGGTGGTCCAAGAGGTATTTCACCAGCACCCGGCACTTTTTATCCTCAATCTGGCTTTGATGGAGCCTTAGAAGCTGTAGAAACAGGTGATTAGCACAAAAAACTGAATCATTAAGAACAGATTTGATGTCACAGGATGTCATGACTTGAAAATAAAAGTCATTTTCCTTTTCTTTTTTTTTGACACTATGAACATGCCACATTTATAAATGTTATTTACATGTCAGCATCACAGAACAGTGAAGGACTATGCTTTATATATTGTAAAATAAAGTAAGTAAATCAACCAACTAAATATCTTTGGCACCTGGGAAATAGTAGTGGCCATTTTCAATTTGTTTCTGATAGATTATAGACTAAAGACTTAAGTAATCAACAGATTATGCACTCATTAGTTGCAGCCTTGATATCAATTCCAATAATCTTTTGTACAGTTTCCATATCATGCACAGAAACCAATAGCAGATAAATGCCATATTCTAATGCAGTAATAAACTAATGTGACAAAAATGTGCATCAAATACTGACTTATTTAGGTTGCAGCCAGGGGCTCTGGTGTCTTGATGTAAATAGAGCATGAATTTAATTCTTGGGTAGTGCCAACAACAATTTCCCTGTTTCCCTGACATCTGGAACTGTAAATGATGCTTTTACTTGCAATAAAGTCAGAAGTGTTGAATTACAACAAACAAACAGGCTCCAGAAAATCAGGCTCCATACTTTGCATGGTATAGACCACTGAGGAGGAGTCAATATTCACCTTCAAATTCTTACAGGACTTAAGGGCCTTGGCGAGGGACTCACAATCTCTGTCAGTCATCTCAAACATCTTCCATTCAAAGTTCATCCCACATTGTTTGACCCTGTACACCAAATGGAGCTCTTCCAGGTTTGTCAGCTTGTCAAGCAGGATGTTAAAGTCAAAGTGGTCCACAGATGGTCCATCATACTCGTTGTCACTCACTAACTCGGAGCCATATTCCTCTTCCTCCATCTTGGGCTCCTTGATAGGCGGCAGGAGTTGGGAAATGTCCAGCCTCTTGACGTAGGTCTTACAATGAGGTACCATCGCTAAAACAGTGTTTGGCTCTGTTACATCTGGAATAAAAAGCTCAATAACGTTCTCCATGTGCCTCTCAAAGAACAGTCGTTTCCAGCTGTGGCCATAATGAGAGACATCACAAAGGTCCCACCGCTGCTCGCATCGCCGCTTCCAATAGACACCATCACCAATCAAGTTGGCTGTCACATGCAGGGGCAGGGAAGTAGATAGTCTCTCCTGCACAAAGTCTTTCTGAATGGGTGTAAGGGCTTCAAATATGGGCATTTCTGTAACAGGTTTAAGTTTTGTAAGTTCCATTTATATTACAAGTGAATGTGTAAACGTTTATAATAATATATATAATAATTGTACAAAAAAACAAGTGCATACCCTCAAAGTTTCTCACGATGCTTTGCAGACACAGGTTTGATAAACAAGGTACTATAGCCAGGGACCAGCCTGGATCTTCAGCAATGATCCTCCTGATCTTTCTGTAGTCCTCATCTGGATTGAGGGTGGCTGCTGGGGTATAAGGGAACCTGGACATTGTTGTAGGGTTTTTGTAGACTATTTTCTGCTTAGAAAAAAGAAACATTTAAAAGTTTAACATCCAAGCAACAGTAGCTATATCCTTGCTTATTTTCAGGTGTGTTTATGTGATGATAGTTTATCTAATGGCATTTACGGCCTAATTAATTTGTCACTGAAACCATATTATCTATAGGCATTAGCTAAGGTAATGGTGCTGCCATAAGTTACCGTCACACATTGAGCTGCTAGCCAAAACTATCTGTAAAGTTAACAGCAAACAGACGATCCACCCTAATGCTAGCTAAACTGCGACAAGCTTACTACTATGGCAATGTCGTGAATTACTGAAAAACATCTTTAAAGTGGTAAACCAACAGACATTTAATATTTGTATAATGTTAACGTTACCCTTTAGTTACATACAACTCAATTTTCGCCGTTCAAACGTTAAAGTAACTTACACCTGCAGTGCGCTGCTCTAGGCTACAACTGTCTCCTTGGTAACAGAACGCTATTACTTTTTAACTCGGGAGATTTGAGCACTCAGCCCTGAACGTTTGAAACAGTGTTTGCCGCTATATTTATAAGACAGCAGATAACAGAACTTTAGAAAACACGTGGTTGATAATTCAAGTTTCTTAGTCAGAATTGTGAGTCAACAGTTTTTGTGTATATTTTAATATTAGGAATTTCCGACCTTCATGGAATGCAACAGTTTTGTCCAGACAACAATAAGAATAAAGACAAGAATAAAACACAGATTACCAATTCATTCTAAACTACGCCCCAAAAGTTTTAGAAATTTGTGTTATTTTGGTAGAATAATTATAATAATTATTTGAGACAAATGCGGGTTGAAGAATGGGATGCTCTCCCACAGCATTGTGTGACCAGGCTGGTGACCAGCATGAGGAGGAGGTGTCAGGCTGTTGTGTGGCTGTGTATGGTTCTTCCACACGCTACTGACACTCCTGTTTGTTAAATGAATAAATTGTTAAAATTCCAATATCTCTTGTTTCTTCAGACTCCAATCATCCAATCCACCAAACAAGAGTCAACAGCAAAGAAAAGCCGTTTGGCATTGTCACAGACTATTTGGCAAATTTTTCATGGGCTCAACCCACATACTCAGCTTTGTTGTCTTATCCCTCAAATGCATGTTCCTTACAAATGTGGCACCATTTAAAAGGGACATAAACATGCTTTCCAGTGGCATAAGATTTATTGCCAAGCAGCACCGTTAGAACAAATAAATAATATACCAAACATAAGGTTCCTTACTTTTTGTGCATAGTTTATTTATGTATTATTATGTATTATTATTATGTATTATTATTATTATTAATGTTGTTGTTATTATTATTACTGTTCCAGCACCTTGGGGCCCAGACTGCAAATGCTCTGTCCCCTTTAAGCAGTAATTACAAATTATCTTAAAGGCATATCTATTAATCATTTAATGCAGGAATACAATAGAGTTGCCAGGGGAAGTCTGCAAAATTAAGATTAGACTGTCTAATTTTTCAATTAAGTAATATTTTAACAGTTGGACATAAAATGACAACACTGATACAAGTGCCGAGTGTTTGTGTTTTGTCTGTGTGGCATCAGTGTTGCAGGAGGCTGTGTGCTCAGCATGATCATGCTGTGAAGAACATTTGGATTCTACAAAGCTGGCAGATGGACCACGGATATGGACCATGAGCCATTTGGATTAAAGCATACTGGAGTGAATCCATCCTTACAAACAACAACACGAAGCAGGTGCACAGCATGGGAAGGTAGAAATCAGTAAAACCACCTACCTGACCTTTATTAAAAAAACAGAAATGAAGTGAAAAGTACAGTAGATGTGGTTTCCCCATCCCCCAACCAAACCTGCTGTAAATAAATACTGATATAAATTGAACTCCTGCTTCCTTTTAAGATGACAGACAAATTAAATTACATACAATTAAATTGTACCTTAAGTAAAACATAATTTATAGTCTCAACATTTTGTAAATTTACCATGCACGACTCAACACTTCATCATTTGAGCTACGCTGTGCTTAAAAATGTCCTGAACGGAAATGGATGGAATCCAGATTTTAGGGGTGGAGTGGAGTAGACAGAGAATATGTGCATGCTTTGGTTTGTACAGCTCTTTTCCTTTAATCTGTCTTCTCTTGTATGTTGTGGCAGCACACTACTAGGAGTGAGCTTGTATTTTCTCAACGATAGTTATCAGGTGGATACCATTTCAGCATCATGGTCATAAGAGCTGATTAGATTGGGAGGATATGACGTTTGCATCTGACATCTGTAAGAATGTATGGTTTGATGTTTTGGTAAAGCAACACACAAGTCAAGACTGGTCAGTACAATGCGTATGTATATTAAAATAGCTATTGCATTTTTAAACTGTACGTCATACCTACTACATATAGCATAGATTTGTCCCCCTCTTGCTTTAGTGCAAGATGCTCCACAAAAGATTTCTAAATGGATATTATCTGTATGGATGTGGGAGGATGCACTTAGATGAGACTTTGATGATCTAATATTTTGTTAGGGCTGTTTATTTCATCATCTAGATAAATCGATCAGTTGTTTGCCTGTAAAATATACATCGTTATAACGTCCCATAACCCAAGGTGACTTATTGAAATTGCTTTTTTTGTCCGACAAACAGCACAAAACCCAAATACATTTGGTTTACTATCCTCACTACTATAGCTACTACTTTAAAATCTGTACATTTGAGATGCTGCAACCAGTGAACGTTTGGCATTTTTCCTTAAAAAACATGACTGTAACAATTAATCAGTAGTTAGAACAATCTATTAATTGACTAATAGTTTCAACTGGAGCTTGAGTTACTCTATTAATTATCTGGGCAACATTCTCACATGATCATGCATGGATGGAAGCAGGTACATGCAGCAAAAGCTGATTGTGTTTCCCCTGTGGAAGGGCGGAGAGAGAGAGATGGCTGTTTCTGACATAAGGTTGCTCCAGGAGTCGGATGGAGGAATTGGATGGAGAAATGAGAGGCTCGAACTGTAGCCCTGAGGCAGTCCATCACTGTCGTCCTCATGTAATATGGCCTGACAGACACACACTTCCCTCGTACTCCGCCTTTAATGGACTGGCGTGACATCAGCCATCCACAGCACAGGCAAACTGCCTCTGTGAGCTGCTCATCCAGTTGCACTCTGGGTAGCGCCAGTGTGGGATGAGTCACGGTGATGGGTGTCCCTGAATCTGCACCACATAACAACTGTGGAGGTTCACTGATCAACTTGTCTTAGCATGAGGAAGCCTGGTCCAGCTGTCAAACTTTCTTTAGGACTGATACCTATATGTAACGGTAACTGTAATACATGTATGTAAAAATTATGTATGAGGAATGATAGTTTACTTAAGTTGTATTTCTCTAATTAAGATCAAGGTTTTACAGCAGACATTTTGACAGGAAAAGCACAGGTGTTACTAATAAACCCCAAGCGGTCAAGGCAGATGTTCACCCAGCCTGAGTCATGGTTCAGTACGAGGTTTCTGCCTCTTAAAAGGAAGTTTTTTCTTGCCTGTGTCACCAAGTGCTTGCTCATGGTGGGAATTGTTGGATCTCTGAATAATATTACAAAGTTATACAGTCTAGACATGCTCTATAAAGTAAAATGAGATAACCTTGGCACTATATAAATAAAATTGAATTAATAATATTAACAATGGCTCCATTCTGCTCCCACTAACCCGTGAAAGTGTGACGGTGGGCCAACCTGCACAATACCAGGAAGCAGGATACCGGCTCATACATCTTATTGAGTGCAGGCTCTCTCATATACATATTGGAGTATTGAACACACCCAGTGACTATTTATGGTACAATTAAATCCCACCCCTACAAAAGCACCAACACTATGTATCTATAGTATGTACAGTACTGTGCCATCACATTTCCATTGCTATCAGAGCACAGTGAGCTGTTGCATTAGGCAACACAGCATGTGTGTAATTGCCAAAAGACAGAAGGACTGAGCAAAAGAAAGAGTTTCTCTCCAAGATGAAGATCTATTTTTAATGACACCCACTCCAATAGTGACTGTAGATGTGCAGATCAAAATGTGTAATATTGTTAAAGTGATTGATGATCTCTTAAACTTTCTTTTTTAAATAGCAACCATGTCAATAACTTATAACATCAGACCAGTGGCACGAATGGCAAAACTTTCAGAAAGTGATACCCTTTACTGTATTTTGTCTTGCACACTAATTATTTGTACACTGAAAAGGCCAAAAAAAAGCCTTACATAAAAATAAAACAACGTAGCTTTTACTGACAAGTGAACTTAAAATGAACCTACTGAACATTTCTAACATAATCTCATAAGGTGAAAGCATTCTGTTGTTTGTTTACTTAAATCAGGACCAGTGAGGTAAACTCTGGAGTGGTGCCAATGGGAGTGATTAATGCTTTTTCCTTTCAGCAAAGCACTATACAGCTCGTGTGCCAGGAGAGGAGGCAACTCCCAGGTGGGCATGGGGATGAATAGAAAGTAGGGCCCCGCTGAATGAAACATAAAATAACAACAATGAAAAAATGTCGACCTTTTCTGTGATTGTTTGAGTTTGGCCATGTTTCAGGAATTATAGTATTTTTACGTTACAGTTCTCTTTCACAGTTGGTCCCTTTTATCCACCTCTAGAATGACAGAAATAATGGATTAAATGACCACACCAATATTCTTATATATTTTTGTATACTGTGACATTTTTGCCTTTCCAAATTGTTTAAAAAAAAATAAAAATACAAACTTAAAAAGCCAAGTTGACCATGTCTGATGGAGATTTCTGTTAGATCAAATGGTTGCTCTATTAAATTCAGTTTATTGGGAGCTAACAGTAGCTTGCAGGTACTTTTGTTGTCAAAGCTACATTAATGCGCTGTGGTAAAAATTTCAAGTGGAGATCAATTTAAGAAGAATGCACTCCATTACGATGAACATTAAATTAGCTATTGTTTCCAATAAGACTGCTGAAGTGGACACTGTGATGCACTACCTTTCTCAAGTACGTCAATTCTACAACCAACTGATGACCGAAAGCTAAGAAAACACATTAAAGACATGGAAAATGGTCTGCAGTAATGTAATGTATGAGATCAAGAGTCTACAGCCCTATTAGCAACTCTGTGAGGCTGTACTTAAGACACAGTGGTGCTTTGAGCTAAATGCAAACAGCTGTTAGCTCAGCTTGTTAGCATGATAACATCAAATGCTAATTCGAAGGCAAAGTAGACCTACAGCTGGGGCTGATGGGAATGTCATTAGCTGCGCAGGTATTTATTCATAAATCAAACTATTCTACAAACAAAACATGTTATTTGGATTTATCCTCTGAATACCATTAACATTTGTACAAAATATTTCATCTCAATCCATCTAACATTTCCTGCGATACTGCAGTCTTGACAAAAGTGGTGGACTGACCCACAGCCTGACACTGCTAGTCATAAAGCCATGATGCTAACATGCTACAAACAAAAACACTGGTATGGTCCTCTCACTCCCAGCAGAGGTTTGTTCTCTATCTCTCATGCGTTCAACCATCACAACATATGAAGTGAGGCTTCATCAAAGAACACTTTTACTATTATGATGACGATGAAGACTTCTGATTTCAAAAAATTTGCTAGTTCCTTATAACCATTAACATAATGAATCAATGCTTGGTAAAAGTCAACATGTGCAGCACAACAAACAGGCCGGAGTGAGTGTGAAAATGCATAGGAAAAAACTTTATTCCTTTAGTTGAAAGTAAAGACAACAACACAACTGATCATTTTACAAAAAGAAAAACATAAACCTTTGGACTCACGATGAGCCCAATCATTCCCTGGAACATTTGAGGGAAACGCAACACCAAAAAGTCCGATTCACATTACAGCCCACAGCTAATCCTCAAAGTCATCAACACTTTCATCAGAGTAACCGCTGTAGGGCGGACTGGAGTCCAAGTGGATGCTACTGTCTGTGTCCACGGAGACCACAGAGCTGAGGCTACTGTCTATGGACACCATGCTGCCGTCACTGTCGCTGCTGCTCCTGCTGCTGTCGTCATCATCATCATCATCATCATCGATCACCATCACCTGAGCAGAGTCAGCAGCTGGGAAACACCAGAAAAAGAAAACTTTTTCGTTTCTCTTTAGAGAGATTTGAAAGAACAACACCTTCTCTCTGAGCCACTTTTTCTTTCTTTCACTTCCTTTACACGACTTTAAAGAAAAAGGCTGACTTTTTAGGGGATTTGTTGACAATCAGAAAAAAATTGTATATCACCACACTGATCCTTTGAAAGCGAATTGGGCAACCTTCAAGCCTCATCATGAGTAGACCTTTTTAATCTAAAGGCGAAGAACATACGTGATGTTGCTAGTCCTCAAAGTTTTTGGTATTTTTTTTACAAACATTAAATCAAAACATTTCACGGTATGCTTTAAGAGTCAGGAACAACCAACATGATGTTGACTGAGATCGACCAGACCACACTGCTTGCCATTTTTGATTAGAAATTATTTTGCAGCATTGATAAACAAGCATTTAGTTTCCAGACTTGACAAGTGTGGCAACCAAATCCTGTTTAAAGTTCCACAGTCGAGGCTCAAGACGAACTGTTTTAGCTAAACCAATGTAAGTAAAAAAAAAATCCCCTCGGTATCATTTCAGCTGACTTTGTTTTACGGTGTTTTAATCTCTGTTTGATCCTATAATTATTTCTTGTATTGTATTTTATGTTATTGTACTTTAATGTGCATTTGTAAAGAATGTTGTCACTATAGTTGGGAAAGATGCTACGGAAATAAAGTTGCCTAATTACTTACTAATTTTCAACTTATTTCCCTCACTCCACCAACAAGCAAATCTAACTATAAAGCAGAGACGGCTAAATCAGTGAGTGTAACAATACTCTCAAAACATCGTTAACTGCTTGAAAGCCTCTGAGCAGATTCGCCACACTAGCTGAGGATCAAGCACACAAGGACACTTTAGTGGTTACTGCTGAAGACGAGGTGAACATTAGTCAATGGGCTCATCCAGACATGTCAAGGCTATCCCAGTCATTTGATCTGATGAATGTGGCATTGCACACTATTGCTAGTGACTACACGGTGAGTCAGATATTAATGCTATGTGGGCCATCCGTGTGGCAACTTGTGCATTAGTGTGATCCTGACTGAGTAAACATCACTGTCGTATACTAGTTTTTGATGTGTTTCTGTAACTGAATTTTGAGGGTTAGGGGCTAGGGTAGGGAGATAAATGTACTACATATTTTAATAACTAGTAACATATTATGATATATACTGCGTTAACATATTTACTTAAATATTCTAACTCAGATGGTAAAAAGTTCAAACAGTACATGTCTAATTGGGTACATGGTAAACATACCAGTGTTTTGGCATAACAAACCCTATATTGTTTAAAAATATAAGCATATGTTGTGTCAAGTATTAAGACTTCCAACTAGGACAGATATTGGTCCAATTTCACTTCATATACTTCACTTAGACACGAAAAATGTATTGTATAAATGTATAAAAAAGTATTTCAAAATGGGGATTTTGTACAGGGGTTTCTCTCTGAGGAATGATCAGACTGTCTCTTATCTGTTCCTGTACTCACTGTGCAACACCCTGAGACATTTCAAGGCTGTCCACTGACCTGAGCTTATGACATCATGGTCACAAGCTTGCTTCTCTGAAAAAAGGAAAACTTCCTTTGGGTATTTAGTGTTATCCATGTTTTTTTCTGTAAATTTAGGATATTAATCTTTATAATACAGTAAACTGGTTCTTATTGTGTATGACATAGCCTCTGTCTGTTTGTTTTAAGGTCTTTTATTTTTATGTCCTGTTTATTTATCTCTTTAAAAACAACCAAAAGTAGGAAGAAAATGCTTCTCTTAACTGTTAACTGTAGGATACTAATGACACTGTTGATGACGCACCTCTCACCTTTCCTCTCAGAGATGAGCGTCTGCCGCCTCGCCTTCATATCCAGGCTCAGGTTTTCCACCATGCTGTTGATGCAGTTGTCCAGGGCAAGACAGCGGGTCTGGGACTGGATGGCCTGTCGGCAGATGGGACACTCGTCTTTCTTTTTACGCCACTGCTTGATGCAGTGACAGCAGAAGCTGTGAGCGCAGTTCAGGATGACTGCCTGTATCAATACAGATTGAAACATTCATTTTATTATAGTGCTCATGTTTTTGTGTCCATCTTCTGAAGCACCTCAAAGAGAAAAGAAAGGGCGTGTCTTACACTGCTTTCATTAATGCCATATTGCTGTATTCAGGTTTTGTACTTACTATGCAATTTCTATCCAATCAGAGACAAAGATTTGTACGTAAGACACAGCAGATGAGAATCGCAAAGGTGATATACACCATGCTAATATGATTATTAATCCTACCTCAATGAAGAGCTCAGAGCAGATGATGCACTGAAGCTCATTCTCCAGAACTTCAGTCACTTGTGTAACAACTTCCTCCTTTTGGGCCCTCGCCTTCTCTTTCTCCTCCTACAAAAATAGATGAATAAATGAATAAAGCTTTGCTGATGCCATGCCAAACTATGCCAAACGAATACTTAGATGGTCATTAATATGGTCATACCTTTGTCACTTCCAGCTCTTTGTTTTTGGCCAAAAGAATCTCTTCGAAGCCTTGCCGAGAAAGGGCAAGTTCACCGATTACCTTCTTTTGCTAAGAACATTCAAAACAGACAGATCAAAAAACAGTGGTAAATTTCATACATACAAGAATAACATGTTTATAAATTCACTATAAACCCTTAGTCTGGTTGCTTTGTGGCGTAACTATAAAGAAAAGTTTATGCTGCATACCTCTTGCAAAGCTTCTTCCAGCTGTTTTTTCAAAAGCTCCTCTTGTTGCTGTGTTTTCTGGGCCTACACACATAAAAAGTTCCACTTTCATTAAAGACAATATTTTGTGCCTAGCATTAATTCATACAAACGCTGTGGTCTTACAGATTATAATCATAACATACTGTTTTGTAATTTGTTTTTCTATTCTGGAATCTGTTGGCTCACCACAAACAGAACAGAAACTTTAGAAAAACAAAAGACATTAGCACACGCAGCCTTTTTGATATTTCCACATTACCGAAAAAATGAGTGAAATACAAACATCTTTCACTTTGATGTCATTATTTTAAGCTGCATTTTCAAATCATGCAGCAGTTAGAAGTTTAAAGTTCTCTGCAGCTAAGAATTATTAGACAGTTCGGTTCACTCAGATCACTAAAGACATTTTTCAGTGCTAAAGCTGTCCAGCCATGCAGACAAGTTTCAGTTTTATGTGCTAAGGTTTCAAAATATCAACCCTCGCTTTAAAACGTTTGTTGCCACCCAAATACAATCGTGCTTAACTGAATCTCATGTGTGCTGCTTAAAGTATTTAAGAATTACTGTCAATCTGATGACAGAAACGTCAGCACATAAATCCAAAACTATGTGTATCTTTAGACACCACTGGGATTAAATAAAAATTTTACTTTTCTCTATTTTGCCAGCTGTTCTTCTTCCAAAAACTCCATAAAAGCTGCCATAATATCTGAATTTATCAGATGGTTTTCTTATACTGTATATCATTAATAGACAAATGTAATGCATATCTAGAAACCATTTAAAAGTGAAGTAGTATTTTCAATTCTGCATATTGGATGCAATACTGAAAACCCTCTCACCTCCAGCTGCCTCTTAGTTTCACTGAAGGACTTCTCTAGCGTCTCCATCCGGTGCATCTTGGCTCGGAGTGTCTCCAGCTGAACCTGCAGCTCCCTGACATGCTCCTCTCTGAGCGGGTCGGCCTTCTGGGGCTCTACCCCAAGCGAGGCGACCTGCCTCTGGGTGTCGTCCACCTGCTCCCTCAGCATCAGAAGGTTCTGGCTGTACCTGCAAACATAAATAAATGAAGAAATACTTTCAGGGAGATCAAATACTCCACTCCTAACAAAAGTGAGTCGCTTTAACTCGCTGGTTGAAACCCAAACAATATAACAGTTTACATCTCTCATTTATCAACACTACATTTCAGATAAAGTTGCTAATAAAATCTGTAGAACATTAAAACAAAATGGATTGGATTACAAAATAGTGTCACACATTGTGTAATTGAGAGAATCCTTTAGATAAGAGATCAACTCTATGATAACGCCGCCTACTGACCAATCAGCTCTCTTGGAAAACAACATCACCATGTGTGGGAAATCCCACAGACTGTTTTAGAGGCAACTTTATGTTAGCTGCGGTGATGTGGAGAAACTCTTGTCTATAGCGATATAATCCTACAGAGACTAATTAAAAGCCTTAGGTTATTGTAGGCCTACAGGTTTTTACAGTAGCCTCCTAACTGCTTTAAAATGTCAATCAAAATCATATTTTTTTATTTATTGTGTCTGTCGCAGCCATTAAAATAAACGGGTTTCATATTTCTTATATAGGCTATTTCTTATGTAAGGCAAAATATAATGAACAGTTTGGTAGAGATATTGAAATACTAAATTTTATTATGAACGTAGGCTATTTATTTTAGGTTAGTAGCGATCTTAAAGTCTATCACAGAGACTGGCCATGTAGGCTACTGCCCAACCTTTTACGGATGTGGGCAAAGGTAATGAGGTGAGTTTTCAGTAGCCTAGATGTTGAGATTCAACCTCTATTTGACCACATCTTATGGCATGAACGGATTTTTTGTTGCATTGCTATATGAAATTAATTTAGAACAATGTCTGGAACACTTTTGAGTGTTAAATAAATTAATCTCATTTTTGAAGAGACGAGAAGTTCTTTAAAGTGTGGTGTCTTTTAATGTGGAAACGCTGACACACAGGCGAGCTGAAAGAATAAGGCTGATCATACAGCTCATAAAAACACATCAAATCGACGCATTATTAGACTACGCCTGTTCATTTAGGCATTCACACTGCCGGCTATTTTCTTTCTTTCTGCACGTGTCAGCTGCAGCTGTGTTACTTAGACCATGTCGTATTTCTGTAGTACCGCAGTGAGCTCTTCGTTTGTAAAATATAACGCTGTGATGACTGTGATTGGTCATCTGCTGCTAACACCGAACGCGCTCACGGCTGGATTGAGAAACACTGGGTTGACTTACAGAGTTGATAACCTGCTTCGTGGTACCGCTTATCCCCACCGTGACTGTTAGGGTTAATTAAGCCAGATAACGAAAACATATCCTATGCATGTTGAACTTGCTTTGTCGTACAAGCCCCTGGCGTTAGGATTATATCTTTATCTTATGCATCCTTTTATCGGCATGGTTCTTTTTTTATTACTAAAGAATTGGGTGGTTTTCAATTATAATTTCTTTAAATAATAAATTCAGAACAAGATTAGAATTATATTTGAAATATAACTTAATGCTGTCACTATTTTCACTCACACATAATATTTCACTGGAAACAATGACTCAGTGCAGCAAAATGTCAGTAAAATAAATAATATTGTGAAATTTAGTATGAAGAAAAATTGAAAAACAGAGTCAGCGTCACTCTTTCCTCCACCCTTTACTGCCGCTATGATTAACTATCTACAGGTGCCACTGGTAGAGAGAGGAGTGGCTGGTTTGTCTCAACCAGCAGCTAAGTGTGCAAGAATTTGCCAAATTTTAAGGTAAGTGGCAAATTAAGATAAACAGTTAGACTACATACAGAAAGCTTTCGTTGTAGCTTGTTGATAACAATTCACTATTAGCTTAACAAGTGTGCTTTGGTTGTAACAAATGGATTTCCTTCTTGGCCCATGACCAGTACTTTTTTCTGTAATCCTGCTGACAGACAGACAAACAAACGGCACCGAAAAAATAACCTCCTTGGCTATGTTTATAATAACTGTTATTTGCAGCCTTAGATTACTTTGTGATCCAGCTGGACAGAAACATCTTCAAGGAATGTGAAAATACCTGAAAAACTGCAGCAAGGTTTGTCAAACAACCTTTTAGGGTTTTCAAAAGATTTTGACTGATATATCTTTCAGAAAAACTGATGCTTCGCTCTGTGACTCCAATGTAATGACGAGATATGACAGGCACAAACTGGGGCTTACATCTGCAAGTTGTCCAGGTCACAAATAGTGCTGGAGTAATCCGAGGACTGGTCTACTTCCTGGACTAGTCTGCTGGGTCCAGTTTCTGCCGGCTGGGTGTGACTGAGCCTCTGCTGGCGTTTCACTGGTGACAGAGGGCAGGGCTTTGCAAATGACTTGTCTGCAGAAGAGCAGCGGTACAGCTTGGGCTTTGAGGTAGAAGGCTCAACTTCTTCCATAGCCAATTTCCTCTTGGGCTTCTTGGGAACATGGGCTGCTTTAACACCCTCTCTATGTCCCTTTGCCAGGCAGAGTTTAATGTCTTTGAGGGGCCGCTGGACGAGGATGTAGTCAAACTCCACATTGGTTCCAATTACAGGAACCCCAAGTTGTATGGAGTCTCCGAGCCTCAGCTGATGGGCTTCTTCAGCAGGTATGCGGTTTCCATTCACCCACACGCCGTTGAGACTCTGAGGTAAAAACAAATAAAATAAGCAACAGTCTTTTTCAGCTGCCGTTGAATTATATTTAACAACTACAGTGCCTTGCGAAAGTATTTGGCCCCCTTGAACTTTTCAACCTTTTGCCACATTGCAGGCTTCAAACATAAAGATATAAAACTGTAATTTTTTGTGAAGAACCAACAACAAGTGGGACACAATCATGAAGTGGAACGAAATTTATTGGATATTTCAAACTTTTTTAACAAATAAAAAACTGAAAAATTGGGCGTACAAAATTATTCAGCCCCCTTAAGTTAATACTTTGTAGCGCCACCTTTTGCTGCGATTACAGCTGTAAGTCGCTTGGGGTACGTCTCTATCAGTTTTGCACATTGAGAGACTGAAATTTTTGCCCATTCCTCCTTGCAAAACAGCTCGAGCTCAGTGAGGTTGGATGGAGAGCGTTTGTGAACAGCAGTTTTCAGTTCTTTCCACAGATTCTCGATTGGATTCAGGTCTGGACTTTGACTTGGCCATTCAAACAACCTGGATATGTTTATTTGTGAACCATTCCAGTGTAGATTTTGCTTTATGTTTTGGATCATTGTCTTGTTGGAAGACAAATCTCCGTCCCAGTCTCAGGTCTTTTGCAGACTCCATCAGGTTTTCTTCCAGAATGGTCCTGTGTTTGGCTCCATCCATCTTCCCATCAATTTTAACCATCTTCCCTGTCCCTGCTGAAGAACAGCAGGCCCAAACCATGATACTGCCACCACCATGTTTGACAGTGGGGATGGTGTGTTCAGGGTGATGAGCTGTGTTGCCTTTACGCCAAACATAACGTTTTGCATTGTTGCCAAAAAGTTCTATTTTGGTTTCATCTGACCAGAGCACCTTCTTCCACATGTTTGGTGTGTCTCCCAGGTGGCTTGTGGCAAACTTTAAACGAGATTTTTTATGGATATCTTTAAGAAATGGTTTTCTTCTTGCCACTCTTCCATAAAGGCCAGATTTGTGCAGTATACGACTGATTGTTGTCCTATGGACAGAGTCTCCCACCTCAGCTGTAGATCTCTGCAGTTCATCCAGAGTGATCATGGGCCTCTTGGCTGCATCTCTGATCAGTCTTCTCCTTGTATGAGCTGAAAGTTTGGAGGGACGGCCGGATCTTCGTAGATTTGCAGTGGTCTGATACTCCTTCCATTTCAATATTATCGCTTGCACAGTGCTCCTTGGGATGTTTAAAGCTTGGGAAATCTTTTTGTATCTAAATCCGGCTTTAAACTTCTCCACAACAGTATCTCGGACCTGCCTGGTGTGTTCCTTGTTCTTCATGATGCTCTCTGCGCTTTAAACGGACCTCTGAGACTATCACAGAGCAGGTGCATTTATACGGAGACTTGATTTCACACATGTGGATTCTATTTATCATCATTAGTCATTTAGGTCAACATTGGATCATTCAGAGATCCTCACTGAACTTCTGGAGAGAGTTTGCTGCACTGAAAGTAAAGGGGCTGAATAATTTTGCACCCCCAATTTTTCAGTTTTTTATTTGTTAAAAAGGTTTGAAATATCCAATAAATTTCATTCCACTTCATAATTGTGTCTCACTTGTTGTTGATTCTTCACAAAAAATTACAGTTTTATATCTTTATGTTTGAAGCCTGCAATGTGGCAAAAGGTCGAAAAGTTCAAGGGGGCCGAATACTTTCGCAAGGCACTGTATATACCAAAAAATATTTAAAACATACATTTGATGACCACTTTATTGGGTTCAGCTGTATAATCGAATTTAATCACAAGCAACAGCTCAGCCATACATTCTACCTTTACAAAGACGATAATGTTCAATTTAACTATGTTTGTGATTGAGGTTGTAGTTTGCAGTGGTGCTGAACTGGGCTGCATTATATTAAGGTGTTTTACAAACATGAGGGAGGAAGAATATTAGAAACCCATTCCAATGTGATGCAGTCCAGTACAACATCACCACCACTAACTATGACATAAGTAACAAAATCCAGTTAAATTAACACCTCACGGAAAATTTTAACACAAACTGAACATTATCATCTTCATAAATGTAGAATTCGTGGCAGATATGTTGTATTGGACTGCATACATTTTTGCACAAACATAATACAACTGTAATATCTCTGGTGTCTGGCTTATTGTGAGGAAACAGTATGAGGAATGCTGACTTATATAATATACAGAATCACAGGGCTTCTGTCAAGAACATCATATGGAAACATAATAGACAACATATACAATAGAAAATTTTTGTGTTTAAAACATCCTTTATGATTTGGGTTTTGGAGAATGTTTGATAATATCGCAAAAACAATCAAGTATAAATAATACAAGAGAATGTAATCTTCATAATTGAGTCATTTAGAAAGCTGGTGTACCTTCATGTCTGTCACTGTCCACTGACCATCTTCCCTTTGCTTAAAAGTACAGTGCAGTCTGGAGATCATCAGAGGACAGCTTGGAGACAACAGCTGGTAGGTTACATCCGCACCACGTCCAATCGTGATCTGTGCAGTCAAAAACAAACATGTCAACAGTTAGCTATCTATCTAGTGTGCAGCTATTTTAGCTCATTACAACATGTGGATACTCTTCGGTAACGGCAAGCTGAAGAAAACACAAAACTTAACCATGAATGAGGGATATCTTGTATGTGAAAACCCCGAATCTATCGTGAACTTGAGCAAGTTACAGGATTAATTGTAGGCAGTTAGCTAGCATTAGCAAGCAGCACCTCTGTGTTGTCGAACAGGCGAAGCCAGTCTGAGTTTCTTCCGACTCTCATCAGACATAAAACCTCTGAATCTGAACAATCATCGTCTTCAGCCGCAGACGAATCCGTCGTTACGGTTTCCATCTTATCTCATTCTGTCAGGGGCTAATACAACCCGAAAGACATCACTTGCTGTGCTGTTCCTCCGTCCATAGCTAACGTTGTGCCACACCGTCAAGATTGAGACTGACAGGCCAAAACCGGAACACGTTTGGGTTGTTTTCAAAATAAAGGCTTCACTGATCATTCAATCCGTTGGCATTAAAATTTATATTTTTTATACGTATTTAAATTACTAACATCAAGTGATTGGGACCTAAAGTTAGAGACACAATCCCATTACAATAAGTACATGCTCAGAATAAAGCTTATTAATTATTTTTCCTTTTTATTCACCTTGGTAACTGCTTTATTTCAAACTAACAGGGAAAACAGACATTGACAAAGCAAGAATGAAATAAAAACAAAAATAATTTGCATAAAACAGAAGAATTTTACTGTTAGAAATGTATATACAGATAAGTAAAATGAACTTAAAATAATAAAAAAATATTCATTCTGTTTCCTGGAAATGAAAATACAGACCCAGGCCAAATATTCACACAGCAGTGAAACCTGCTATTGATCCCAAATACAGTGAAAGTCCTTGTATGGATTAACACTAGACCATAATTAATTAATAAATGAATGATTAATAGTAAAATAACACACATAAATTAAAAACAAAATAGATTTAGATATGTACAGAGAAATTAATGATAAAGAAATAACAAATAAAGCATCTCAAACATACAAATTCAAAATCAAAAATCAACAGAAGCAATCAAAACGGTCGAAAAATATTTGCATGTCAGAGGGAAATGTACTTTTTATTCCACGAGTATTAATATATTAGTATTTAAAAGTTCTAGATACAATGGTGTTTACATATATCTAAACTAATCAGTAATGAAAAACCAACAATGTATAATTTATATATAGCTATATATGCATGTATGTGTTAATTAGTGGTGGAAGAAGTTACTTAAGTAAAAGTAGCAATATCTAGCCTATCAATAATAATCAGTATTTGTGCTTCGTGGTAATTCTGCCTATTAAGTAATAGATGTGAGTACTTCTTCCATTTAAGCTTCTTCCTCACAGCTTGCACCTTTAAATTAAATAGCACTTGACGTTTTTTTTTTTTTTTTCTGCAGCAGTGTTTTACTGTACCATCAACACAGTCAGACATCCTGTTGCCGTTCAGTCGTGCGACCCCGCGTCCCAAAACGCGCGCACCCCAGAAGCTCCAGGCGGGACTTCCTTTCTGTTGCGGATGCGATATTAGGGTGAGCAGGCAGAAAGGGCTTGGTCGGGGTGTCGCTGGTCTCTCTGTGCGCCTCTGGACACCAGATAACCGGGCTGACGACGCTGCTTGCTGCTGAAGCCTCGTAGATGAATCTCCTCCTCGGCTATGCTGCCCTGAAAGCGCCGCGAGTATCCGCCCAGCCAACATGTCTGATGTCAACAAGACTATTCAGAAATGGCACGCCAGTTTTAAGAAAGGCACAGACTTTGACTCGTGGGGACAATTAGTGGAGGCTATAGATGAGTACCAAATGTAAGTTGCATTCAACATGTGTGTATCCTGCCTCTCTCCACACAGCTGGTTTCTCCTGAGCACAGCTTCACGCTTCTTTTCCTCACCTTGTAATCCATCTCTCACCTCTCCCTGCAATCAGACAACAGCGTGTAAGAGACAGCGGGTGCATGGTGCTTCACAAGAAGTTGCAACCTCTGAGCTGTCAGTCAGCAGTAAACAAACCCTACCCATCCATGACGTGATGTGGCAGTTGTTGCAGAGTCGCTGTGTGCATGTTTGCATCCCCAGGTTCATCCACCACCAAGTTTCATTTGCGGGAGAATCGATTTCATAAAGCCTGTCATGGAAAATCATCCAGAGCTGCGCGCAGTGTGTTTCATTATGTGTCATGCAGTGCAGAAACGGGGCAATGTTCCTCAGGAGCATTGAGAAATAGTCAGCCACACCCTCTCATTGTTATGGGTGGGTTTCCATCTGTGTTTGTGAGGAATGTTTCCTGCTTTCAGACAATCTCTGCCTCTTTGCACATTTTCAAAGATGCGATCTGCGTTGTCAGCTAATTCATGTTTTACCTGAAATTGCAGTAATAACGCAAAATCAACACCCCGATACCCAAATATCTTGAACGCAAGGGGGCGCATATATACATCATTTAGCCACCTTTCATCACAAGAATCTTCAGATTTTGCTGCAGATCATTAACGCACTTCTATGATGTTATTTATTTTTACTGAATGGCTCAAACTTTATTTTTGATAATTGCTTTGCTTCAGTTGTACCTACAAATTAATACCAGTTTTGATTTATTCCTTTTAGTCTGGCAAGACAACTGCAAAAAGAGGTCCAGTCATCAAATTCATCAGACTTCACAGAAGAGCAGAAGGTAATCATTATACATCTCCCTTTAACATCTAAATAGAAAAGTTAGTTACTTTGCAAAAACTAATATCTTTTTTTCTTCTTCAGAAAACTTTAGGAAAGATTGCAACATGCCTGGAGATGAGAAGTGGCAGTTTGCAGGTTTGTGTTGCTCCTTTTCATTCTGTATGAAATATGACAACAAGCACAGTCAAATCTGGGATTATAGAAATGGTCAAGTCGATTTCTTTATAGAGCACATTTTAAAAACACCAAAGTGCTTTTACAGAGAGATGGCAATTGCAGTCAAATAATAATTCAGACATAATTATGAGTCCAAACCTTTTTCAGATTTATAATGACACTAAACCAGACAGAGGGGTGAAATTATTCTTCATTGTACTTTTTACATTAAACTTTCAGGAAGTTGCTCTGTCCTCTGTTTCTTCCTTGGCCAAAGCAACAGGCTTGTTTCCCTATAAATTCCCTTTTGTAATAACGTACAGTACGAAGTGTGTCATTTGTCTTTGGCTCCTCTGCAGTGCACACAGTCGAAGGAGGAGTTCAAGTTAGAAGAACTAAAGAAACTGGAAACCAGTAAGTGTTGTGCCCGGGAATTAAGCGGCTATCTTTGTTAACAATCCTGTTATCGACTGCGTATTCTGATCCGCTCACAACTCAACTTTCTCCTTTTGTCAACAGTAATTCAAAATATTCTCACCTACAACAAAGAATTTCCCTTTGATGTCCAGCCGGTGCCCTTAAGGTAAATATCCATCACTAAATATCATCATGTCATTACTGTTTGAAGCTCTTATTTTACAGTATATGCTGCTTGGCCGTTAAAGTTTATTCACTAACTGTGTGTGTGTGTGTGTGTGTGTGTGTGTGTGTGAGATATAAAATAATCTCAACCCAAAGTCCTTTTACTACCTTATGGAAATAATATGATTTAAATAATAAATCAATCAGTCACGTTAAAACTGGCATGACACCTGTACCAGTTCCATTCACTGATGAAATCTGCTCAGAAAAAGCTGTAAGTGCACTTTGAGTTGAGATTATCTTGTCACACAGCTTCTTTTCCTTACAAACTGAAGCTGGTCTGGCATTAGATTTGTGTACATACTTCTACAATATCCTGTGTCTGTGCTTCTTCTACCTGTTTATTTCCCTCTGAAAAAGTTTACACGGCACTTTTTGGGCATCTTGTCAGATTTCATATCTGTATGGATCTGTACAGCTGATGGTGCAGATTTACTATTGTCTGCACACACTTCTGGATTACTTTCTTTGATCTATTTGCTCCACTTCTGTCCTCTTGTATCTTAAATCAGTGAGTCCTCTTTGGTCACAACTACCCCAAGGGTAGGGTTTTTTTTTTAAGGGCAAGATAGGAAAGGGAAAAAAAAAATAATTCTTCTACACAAAATTATATTAAATTTTTTGCTGTAATCTTTTTTTTTTTTGTGCTTTATTGGATAATTGAACCCCTTTTTAAGCTTCTGAAACAATAGGTTGCAGGTCGACTTTGCTTTATCTTAAGTGGTCTCAAGCCAAAAAAGTTCAGCAACTCTCACTCTCTCATGGCTGGATATCCTCACAGAAATATTTGGAAGTTTTTATCTAATCTGTAGATAATGAAGTGATCAAACTTGGCGTTCCTCTCTGTCAGGAAAATCCTCGCCCCGGGGGAAGAGGAGAACCTGGAGCTGGAGGAGGAGGAGGATGCGGTAGCGGGAGCAGGTGCTACAGAAGCTTTCCCGCAGCGAGCCCCTGGTACTGGTAGACCCGTTGATAACCGCTCATCAAACTGTTCGGGATGTTTGTTGTGTCACGTTGTCTGTTTGACTGTGTGTCTTTTTTGTTCTCTCTGTCGGTGCTGTGCATGGCTTCATCGCTCATTCCTGCCTGCCTGCTTCATTTGCAGCTTCGCAAGGTACGGCGTTATCAACAAACAGCATCTGAATTTGTTCTCTACTGCATGACAGATGTGTTTTTATTATTATTATTTTATCGGAGCCTTTCAATGGAAATACACACCGTGTTGCTGATTTGACAAAAATGTTCATTTTAGAGTTAATGCTTCTTTTTGACTTTAGAATAAAGTACATCGATTTAGATACCGTTAGATTTTGTTAATAGTGTTCCCTTTTAACAAGTCAGCCTCCGTTCCGCTAACTTTGGGAAAGCATACAGCCTACTTTTTCCATCGAGAATTTCTTTTTATTGATTGATCTGAACATGACAGTGGAGAACATGGACGTGAAAGAACTATTATTGTAGTATTGTTAGTATATATAGTATTATAAGATATTTAAATGGTTACTTAAATCTAAAGCCTGTAATCTGACGGCGTTCTGCCGTTAATCTTTGGTCACAGGTGATGAAGCCGGCCCCTATTGTTATGGTAACTGGTAATGTCTACAACCTTTGTCCTCTACAGGTACCTTGTTGCCACGTTTACCATCAGAGCCTGGGATGTCACTACTTACATTAAAGATTGAAAAGATCGGGTTGAAGGATGCCGGACAGTGCATCGATCCCTACATGACCATTAGTGTCAAAGGTAACAGCCGCATCCCATTCATCCCATTTCAAATATGTGTTGTCTGGATTAAAGTGGAGTCAGTCTGGCGGTGTGGTGAAGACCTCCACAGCTGCTGGTCTCAGATTACAGCCACAACCTTTTCTCTACCACCATGTCTCGATGAGAACAGCTACTCAAGTGCTTTGAAAGTGCTGCAGACGTGCTTCACCTTGAAGTCTTGAAAACCTGCTCGTCACAGCTGTATAAAATTCTGCCAAAACCAAGAGCATGTTCTGTGTTTTCTCTGCCTGCAGATATGAACGGTGTAGATTTGAACCCGGTGCAGGACACCCCTGTGGCCACCAGGAAGGAAGATACCTACATTCACTTCAGTGTGGACGTAGAGATCCAGAGACACGTGGAGAAATTACCAAAAGGTACCAAAGTGACATACTATAACAATATAATAAAAATAAATTCCTACATTACCAACATCACAAGATTCCTTACGTGATTTTTAGGATCATTCTGGCTATATTCCATGATTGTCTTTTATACAACCAATCCTATGAATAAAATGATCCCATAACAATTATTGCCTGTTTAGTCAAAGATTTATATATCTTTTTCCTGAAAGTGGGCACTGCAGCTTAATTTTAATCACACATACTGTACATCATCCTGCTGCTGTAAAAGACTGAAGGCTAGAGGATGGTCAAATAGCTTCCAAAACCCCCCTCCATCACACCTTTCCGACGTCATATTAAGGGAGGCTGTGTCCAATCCGGCGCCCTGCACCCTCTTCTCACCGTGATTGGCCAGCTGTTTGCTTTGAGCTTCTCTCTCATGCAACACTATGAATGTCTTCCAGGACATCACATCTCGCCCCCCTCTGTATGACAGACACCTTCCACCTTCCAGTGTTGCCTTTTGGATCAGAAATAAACACCTTTTGCCTTCTGACGTGGACGGACAACGAACTAGTTCTTTTCTAGCATAACCTGGCCTGGACTAGTGCACCAAATGTATATTAATCCATGTCCGAAAATAGTTCCCAACAAACACACTATTTACTGCTGTTAAAACAATGTTAGCTAAAAACTACAATTCCCAGATGTTTTAGGAAATTCCTACTTTAAAAACTAGTCTTTAGTCTAGTTTTCAGTAGGAACAAAAGGGTTTGAGTGCCACGGGGTAGGGCAGTCAAAAAGTATTGAGAGAATAAATATAATATGGACAGTAAGACACATTTATCCTTTGATGCCCCTGGGATTTTCGCATGCCAGTGTGCAGCATGTCTTGTTCTAAAAAAAAAAAAACAGACTGGCAGGAGAGTTTCATAGAGATGGCACTACTGGTGAGGTAATTATTCGGTATGTTAACTTTATTATTCATGTTGTTAAACCTGCAATACATTCCTCAGGAGCAGCTATCTTCTTTGAATTCAAGCACTACAAACCTAAAAAGAGGTTTACCAGCACAAAATGTTTTGCCTTCATGGAAATGGACGAGATCAAACCGGGCCCCATCGTAATCGAACTGTGAGTCAGCTGACAACGTCTTTTTGTCTAAATGATTTAAGGGATTCCTTTTGTGTCTTTTGAAACAATACTGTACCATCTTTCTTGTATTGCAGGTACAAGAAGCCCACAGACTTCAAGAGGAAGAAACTGCAGCTTTTAACAAAGAAACAACTCTATCTGCATCTTCATCAGACACTACACAAGGACAGCTAAGTGATAGCACACCTTGAACTTTGAATCACCATCTTATGATATTTTCTCTTACATCCACATCCAGCAAAATGTGGTGTTCCACCTCATCACATCCAGCAATCACCCCCCATGAGTATATCAAAAAGTAAAGGGAACTGACTCACATCAGCTCAGACCGCACATCACTTTTGCAGTTTTGTATTTTTTGATATTGTTGTCAAATTCTGTCCCAAAACTCACAAACACTTAAACCACTTAATTTTTAGTCTTCCTTAGCTCACTGACTTGGGGAAACAGGGGACCGACACAATGTGAATTATTACAGGTGCACAATTTGAGTCTTACAGTTTGACTCGCTACTATCTGTAGCGGTTGGACTCTCAAGTGAAATTTAGCAAAACATTATAAGCAACTGAAGTTCCCAATAAATGCACTATGTTGGTACTTTCATCGCAGAGTTTGCAAAGCTATTCCCTGGATAAAAAACACACGAACAGCAACACTGTTTGCTCCGTCAAGCTATTAAAATGTTATTACGTCAGTCATAGTCGGAGTGTAGCATAATTATAGACTTTTATAGTGTTTAATTATCAATTAAATCAATGGATTTGAAAAAGCTATTACAAAGTGGTTATTTAATTTTAAAAAGTCAACGGTAAAAAGATTAAATTTACCTATTAATATATTTTGTTATGTGCAAAAAAAATATATAACTGAATTGCAAAATGTAATTACAAAATTGATTTCTAAAAAGGCTGTTAAATTAAACTTTGTTAATACATTAACTAAAATCCTGCTAAGCATAAACACTACTGTCCTGTTTTCGGCTTTTAACATTTACAGTTTCCATTTTATGCTTTCTTTATATTGACCTGCATTAACAGATTTGTTTGGGCACTTGGGGCAGCGGATACAAGCTGTAAACACAACCCTGACATATCATCATGTTTTAAGTTGATGAAGGGTTGGTGAACTTCCTATTTACACATCCAGCACACATGGAGCAGCATTAGCAATTATTTGGAATCGTGTATGAATGTAAGTTCAATGTTTACTCAATTTTAGCTCTGTTGTGTTCTCACCAGAATCTGAAGGGAAATATCTGGCTCTTTAGCTGCTAAATGCTCCATTATGTTTACCAGCTAGTAACCGCTAACTTTATCTGCTGATTGGTGCTGGATAACAGTGTGACTGGAAACAAGGTTATGCGTTGGGTCAACTAAAACAGCAAAATCAAAACGATGTGTTAAGACCCTAAAACTCTCAGTAGAGCTGAACTGTAGTTCCATGTTGGTTTGTCACTATGAGCGACAGCTTTCACATTACATGTTGTTATTTGACTAATATAAAAATATTAGTGCAGCTTTAATTTAAGGCAGGAAGCCCTCTGATTGGCAGGCTTTTTTGACATCTTAAATTAAATTTGTCTTTAAATAAAGCTATCAAAGTGGAAACTGTAAAGTAAGTGTGTGTGTGTGTGTGCACAATTATATGTTAAATATACAATAGGTTTATTCTTTTAAGTTGTGTTGGCTTTGTCAAAATATTTCACAAGTTTGATTTAAAGGCCAGATTTCTATATTACCTTGTCCTCTAAATGTCCCCATAATTCCAACAGTCCTCACATGTCAGCGTTCAAGCTTTAATATGATTGATATGCTTATTTAAACTCTTTCGTACGGTTTTGTAAATGAATAAAGAATAAATTGAATGCATCATGGTTTGCATGCAGTGAATGTGAAACCTGTATTCAGGATAACACCAGTTTTCTTTTTCTAAGCAAGCAGAAATGCAGCATTTGGATTATCCAGATCTTTATCACGTGCCAGGAAGTGTTTTCTTTTAAATCTAGTGTTACTTTGCAGATTGGGTGTTTTATGTACATAGTTACATTTAACCAGTGCTTACATGAGACATCTAGAGGATGCATCTTTATGGACAGCTGAAGGACAGGGATTGTGCTCTTGGACTGACTTTTTCAAGATCTTTCTTTCTCTTAAATTGTTATTCAGAAAAGCCTTCTACTTTTATTTTGAAATTTCCCATCACCCTGTTATAAAGGGCTTTTTGTTTTTAAATGAAGTTGCATTAACTTTGTTTCCACTGACTTTGCAGATGTTCTTCACTAAAACATCTACAGTGTATTTTTTTAGATTTTATTTTTGTAACATCACAATATTCAGGACTGTAAATTAACTCTAAGATACACTAACTGATGAGTAAACAGTAACTGTGTGTCTGTATGAAGCACTATGACATGGTAAGACTGAGACCTGTGGAGTGTTTTAAGTTTGTTGACAGACTGAAGGGAATTGTATCAAACATTTACAAAGCTTTTAATTTCTAATAAACTACAAATGAAGCCGTTTTGTGGATTATTTCATCCAGATCATAGAGCGAACGGTTTTAGCATTTGTGATTTATGCAAACATTACTTATGCCTTGTGCAGACTACACGACTTTCAGCGTCGGCCAATGGCCGTGCTGTTCGCACTACACAACTTGCCGTCATTTTGGCGTTCACACTACGTGACTGATCAGTGACAGGGGATCACACACTACACGAGCTGGCACGGACTGTCACCCGATGCTGGTCTCTATAAAAATACCCATAAAACTATGAAACTTTTAATTTGGTTTTATCTACGGTTCTGTGTGTTCTTCAGCCAGTGGTGGTTGATTAGGATGGGAACACATTCTATGATTTTATGGATGAATAAATTGAAGCTTGAACCTCGAGTAGGATCTGAGATACCAAGTGTCTGCCTTCACCCCAACCCAATGGAATTTCCTTGTGGTGCTTACATTTAAAAATTACATTTACCTAATTCAGCAGTAAGCTCTTTTTCCATAAACGTTTTGAGTGATACTTTCAAAACTGTGCAACAGATATGCCGTTCATCTCAAAGTCAAGTTAAGCCAAAGTTGCTAAATGGAAGACAAGCTTGGTAAACTGATAATGAAGCCCTTTTTAATATATCTTCATTGTGTTTTGGTCCTGAAACAATGTGACCTAATGCCCCAGGTTTGATATGATTACTCACCAGACAAGCAAATGTCCTCACCTATTGAGTACAACAACAACAACAAAAAAAACAGCAGGGGAGCTGAATCTCATTGAGCTGAGAGGCCATAGTTTCATGTGTTTGAGCCAAAGGACAATTCGTTTGTTACACGAAAAAGCAAAACAGATTGACAGAACAGATGGATGTGCATCTAGAGTTATTGGTGAAAGGCTACTCTGCTTCTGTCCCTGCATACACTAAGCTGAATAAGGTACATGCTGTTTTTTGTATAAATTAACATGTCAACTGACTTTTAACAAACAGAACAGATGTTTATGTTTCTGTCTCAGCAGCAGCACAGATTTATGCCTTATAACACCAACAGCTTTTACATTCTTTATTATTAAAAGTTCTACCAACATAGTAAAATAAGTTATACATCTGGCCATCAAATTACACATTTGCTTTACAGTCTGTTTTGAAGCAACAGCTTTGGGAAAATTAAGGTCTTCCTGAATGCTCGAAGCTAAACCTCCCTCTTTTTTATCCTCTTTTAAAACAATTTCCACAGGAAATGACATTTAAAAATTTGCTCCTTAAAAATCATTGCTATTTTTTTTAAAAGATAAACACAAATGAAAATTCTCTGTAATAATGATTATTGCACAATAAGCTGTTTAGAAAAGTGGCAACCCTCTCAACTCATTCATTTCAGACATAATTATTGATGGTGCTTTAATTGAAGGACCATGTTTTTTTTTGTTGGTTATTTTACGTAAACATCATGGTAGCTTTTATAACTGAAACCAGAAAATAATCATGACCTATGTTTGGACAGGATCTGGGTTGTTAATGTGATGGGTACGGAGTAAATCCAAGTCCTCTGCTGTAGCTGGTGGCATTCTTAAGGCTTGACCATCGCTGGCCTCACTGAGTCCTGAGGAGCCTCCTGCTTCACATGCAGGTCCTGTCCAGGGCCAGTTTGAGCTCCTGATGAGTTCTGGAGGGCATTAGGTGGACCCTGACTATAAGCATCACCAGGATATGCAGGGTGGGGAAGGACACCTGGAGGCAGGTTCATTGGTGGGCTGGTGTGGTCACGTGGTCCTGGGAAGCGCATGTCGGGAGGGATGGGAGGACGTGGTCCCATAGGTCCACGAACACCTAAACAATGGAAAAGGGAAATATTAATGGAGGACATAGGTCGAGACAGGCTGGAAAAAAACCCTGAACTTTTCTACTGATACAGTTCAGATGTACGTACAAGTCTGCAGTGGTACATAATACTTTCAGGAAACAGTCACAGCCCTACACTACAAAAAATAAAAGTTTGTGCCTTCTTCCACCTACTTAGCTTTTATCCATTGCTAAACTAACTGCCATATATTGAAATGGAATTATTACAACCTTAAACAATATTAAAAACTTGAGTACTGAGTGAAAAAGTTGAGCTTGCTGCAAAGCGACAATATTTGAGCTATAAAACAATCTTGCTACTACAGTTTAACTTGGCCTGGTATGATTGACCATTAGCTTAATGTGGCTAATGTTAGCAAGCTTTAGATGGATATTGCTGGGTAGCTGACATCCATCATTTTCTCACCAAGAGAGTATTCTCTAGTTGTGCTGCTGCTGCTGCTGCTATACAACATGAAGCATTAATCAACTTACTTCCTACTACTCATAATTATCCGAAAACCTGGCAGTTCAATACATTTAGGGGTCCAGACACAGTACATGCGGTCACAACACTCAAACTTCCCAGCACGACTCAGAGACAGCACAAACTGAATGGCAGAACGCACCAGGTGGCAGAGGCATCGGTCCAAAGTGATGAGGTGGAGGGGGACGGAAGTGTGGCGGTGGTGGACCCCGAGGATCAATAACATGTCCAGGGCCTGGCCTGGGGTGGAACACATGTCCGTTGGCGGGTCGGGGTCCAAAATCTCCACCCACTGGTCCAGGCAGGGGCATACCTGGGTGCCCGTTGGCTGGAAGTGGAGGACCTGGAGGACCATGAGGACCTGGTGGGAGGTGGTAGGGGCCGGGTCTTGGAGGTCTGTAAGGTCCAGGAGGTGGCAGACGGCCGTGGGGTCCAGGAGGGAGGAGCTGCTCATGTGGTCCAGGGCCGGGTGGAGGTCCTTGGACCATGGGGCCTGGTGAGTCCCTGATCGGAGACACTAGGAGAGATCCAGGGCCCTGAAAACGGCAGGCCGATAATCAGAAAGAGTTGTGTGCTGTCACTAGAACTTTAGTTGGTCCTGGAAGTGAGTATAGATGGATTCAAATCTTATTCATGCAGTGAAATCATCCACAATATTCGCCCAACAAGCAGTGCATTGAGCCAGGGCTCAATCAAATGACCCGTAACCACACACCATGATTATTTGATTGAGCCAGGGCTCAATCAAATGACCCGTAAACACACCATGATTATTTGAATGAAAAACCATCACAGCACTTTCACAAATGCTCAAACTCAGACAGACATTGTTGAAGTTAAAGTTAATGAAAAGAATCTCTGCTTCTTTCAGTGCAGTGAGAACAGTTGAAACCACACGCTCAGCCCAAACAGTTAAGTCAGCCCCAGTGAAGCAAAAATGCCTTGAATCTCTTCCCAAATCCAGCTACAGGGAAGAGGGGATGGAGCGCTTGCATACACCTTCACACCTGGACTGGACAGCCTCTATACTCACTGTCTCTGGACTGTCTGTGGAGACCTCAGTCTGTGTCTCTGCTTTTATCTGTGGATCTACTGCTTGTGTCTGTTTTAGAGCAAGGACATACACAACGGACATGTAGGTAGGAGGCTCTACGCCTTCAGACGGTAGGGGGGGGGAAGGTATTATATAAAAATGAGTCTGATCTGATTATAAAAACTTACACATCCGTCCATGTTGGCAGGTGAGGAGCTACGTGGGCCCATCATGTCTGAAAGAGGAGAGATGGCACAGTGTTGGAAGAATGTTTGAAAGCAAAAGGTGACCTCTGAAATTCAGAGACTGCTGAAGACATACCCATCCCAGAGATGTGTTTGTTTTCAGGGTAACGACCATGTGGGTCTGATGGAGGTCGTGGACCTGAGTGTAGAAGAAAACAAGACACAATGAAGAATGAAGTCCCCCTCCAGACTCTGCCGTTGTAGTAAAACAGGAAACAAATTATTACAGTGGCAAAGACTGGTCATCTGTCATCAATGAGGAAAACAGTCAACAAAACAAAGCATTCTGGATGACTTTAAAGCCCCTGAAAACTTCTAATTAAATTATCTTTAATTCATGACAGAATAAGAAACAATCAAATATCAAATTTGGGGGGGTGGGGGGGGGTCATCAACTATTAAGAGTTTAAGACTTCAAAATTCACTTAACCTGCTTCTTCAGGAACCCATTGCTTAAAGTGAGAAGCGGATTAAGAAAATGTGTTTTTAGAGCCTTTAAACAAGAAAAAGGGGAAGCACATTTCAACAGCAACACAAACACAAAAAACCCTCCCCCAAAAAAGACATTTAGAAATAAAACGAGAAGGAAAAGAGAGTTGAAGACAGGAGGTAGCTGGAAGATGCAGGATGTAACACATACTGGGAAGAAATAAAAAGGAGGAACTCAAGAAGGTGAAAGAGCTGAAAAGAACAATGAAGTCCGGTGTGCAAGAGGAGAAAGATTTAAGGACACAAGGTTGTAAGGGAGGGATGATGTCCAACCGTGGTGAAGATCAAAGAAGGTGAAGTTATCCACTGGGACTCACCATATGGGTCAATTCTTCGCCCCACTGGGGCAGAAGGAGGGCGTCTGGGACCCTCTATCATTATTGGAGGAGATGGAGCACCCCCGCTCACAGGAGAAGGCCCATATGAATCACCTGTTACGATCAAACCATCCATTTACCAAAGGAAACGAAAGGGCTGACTGTACACTATGATCTATGCAAAGAAGACGTCCTCATTCCAGCTCAAGTCAAGTACAATGAAATGACAAATGTACGACCACAACACATACTCATTTAACAAAAACAAAATTCAAGAACGAAAAAAAATGCAGGACTTTATTGGAAAACAGCGTCCTCTTCTCAAAGCTCCGCAGGATGAGAAACAGCAGGGAACGGTGTGTGGTCTACTCACCTTGGCGAGGACCTGCAGGTTGTCCGGAGTTCGGTCGGAAGAGGGGAGCACGGCGCTCATTAAGTTGGGAGGTCATTACAGCCAGTCTAGTAATGGATAAAAAACAAACAAAAAAAAACAATAACTGTTCATTAGAAGCAAATAGGTGCCATAGGAAGGCTAACTATTATTTTTTTGATTAAATATTATTTAATCTGCTGAAAATTTTTCTGAAAATTGTGAACAATTTAACACAGCCCAAGGTGTCAACATCAAGTTGAAAAATAGCAAATCCTTACATTTTAATAGCTGAAACAAGTGAATGTTTGGTATTTTTGCATTAAAATTACTCCTTTAAGTACCAATTAATAGTTTCTGCTCCAGCCAAAGGGATTTAATATTTCAGCTCAAGAGTAACAACAAAAATCCAAACACTATTTTTACTAATCCTGCCAGCACTTACTTTTCACGCAGCTTTGATGATTCAAGCTTCTCTTGATTCAAAGCTCGCTCTGCATTACGAGCATTTACCTGGAAACATAACGGGAGCATTTGTGTGCAACTAGTGCCTCAGCTTTTATTATTCTTAAACAGCATATGGGAAAAAATAAAATAAAATATTGTGCTGCTTTGTGCAACATACCCAGTTTGAGTGAGTTTTGTTTTCCTGTTCTTTTATCTAAAAAAGAAAGAAAGACATTCCAGTGTCAGTCAGTGTTTACTAAGATTTTTTTTCTGTATTTGCTTATTTAAAAATGAATAGTCTACCTGCTCTTTATAGACGTCCTCAGTCTTCTTCATCTGCTCCTCCATTTCATTAATGCGTTGCTTTAAGATTTTAACCTGCTCCTCTGCCTCGAGAGCTTTCCCTCCAACCTCAGACAGCATGTTCTCTTTGCTGCGTCGCTCCAACTCTTCCTTCGTTAATCTCCTGTGAAGCCACAGAAACACCCTTCTTCAAATAACAGTAACACAGGGTTCGCTTGCACATCGTTTCCATTTCCAAGACATATGCTATCACTCATGAGATTATGCTAAAACAGAATATTCATTAAGGTGAAACAAGTGCATATTTTAGCTAATAAAAAGTGTTCAATGACTATTATGGCTTCACTTACTGCTGCAAAGCGTTTTCCTTCTGCTGATACATTTCAACCATGATTTCATTTTTCTGCTGGAGGATCTTGAACTGGTTTTCGATATGGCTCTTGTCGCTTTTTAGGGTTGCAATTGCATGTTCAAGCTCCTGGTGTTGTTCTGTTGCAAAATAAAATGGTGTGTTTAAAGACGCAGGAAGAAAGTCTTATTCAAAGGCAACGCGTTTATGCAATTTTTCAAAAAAACAAAACAAACACTCACATGTGTCAGTAATTGAACAATGACATACCTTCCAGTGACTTTCTAGTCTTTTCTTCATTCAGTAGTTTGGTCATGAAGCGATCACGCTCTTCTTCGACCACAGAGAGAGTGGTCTGGACCTGGAACATTTAAAAAAAAAAAAGAAACACATTACTGTAGAAGCAGGTTAACATTTGTCTTCCAGGTGGAACAGACACTGATATCTGGTCATCTTACCCGAGAAACATCCATCATCTGTTTGATTCTGTTCTTTATGGCTGTCTTCTTGTCTGCAAAAGACACCGTAATGCCGTTAACAACTTGGTATGAAGCTGAACACAAACTACTAGAATCCATTTGCATGTGTATTATTCACATTACTAAATTAGTAACAGAGTTGGTACTAACCATGCGCTACTTCACAATTGGCTAACACGTTGGTGTCACCTTTTTGTGAATCACAAGCATCTAGGTCTGCCAGAAGTTCAGACAGCACCTGCCAGGAGACATTTTTGTGCAAGAGTAAGTTAATAATTTGATGCAAGTTAAGGACTAATATTTGCAGCTGAAAACCAAGAACAATTGTGGCAGTAGTTACAAAAAAGCTCCCGACCTCCACGTTGTGATCTTTGAGCACCACAGAGTCCTCCAGCTCTTTCTGGGACTTTTGGTAGACTTTAATTTGCTCGTTCAGCTCCTTGTGTTTGTCCTCCCAGCCCTTTATAGTAGCCTTAAGCTGTAAGAATTGGCAAGGTCAGGAGAGTGCTCCAGGAAAACATTATATGTGAAATGATCCAGTTTCAATTAACTCATTCATTAGACCTCAGTCTTCAATAACATATCAAAACACATCTACATATTGTCTTACGGTTTTATTTTCTTCTTTTAGCGCTGCATAATCTTTCACAAGACATTTATGCTGAGCGTTTCGGGCATCTTCACGAATTTTGGACTCGTCCAGGAGAACTGTAGTCTGTGGCGAACACATGCAGTTTATAAGAGAAGCTGAAACCACAAGCTTCATATCTTTTTGCAACATGAAGATTATGCAAGGACTTGTACCTTAGCGAGAGCTTCCTGAATCTTTTTCCTGCTGAGCTGTAGTTTCTCGTTTAACTTCTCCAATTTCTCAATCTGTTAAAGAAACCGTTAAGCGTCACAAATCTGAGACAACAGTTTACTAGTATTAGGAAAAACAATATTTTCAACAATTACCCTTGTTTCATTTTGCAGAGAGTTTGCCCTCTCATCTTCGAGTTGTTTTGCATATTTGTTCTTTTCCTCAGCAATCTGTTCATTCCGTGTTTCTGCCTCCAAAACCTTACCCTGCAAAAAGGCAATGAGAGAAACTTCAACCACAGACAGAACAAGAAGCCATATCACTTACTGTCCAAATGACACACAACACCCACGAGCCAATTACAGGTACACTGCGACATTCTTAAAAGCTCTTTAGAGCAAACAGAATCCGTATTTCCTCATTGCTCACCTCCAGTTTTTGCATCATTTTCATTGTACAACTGACAGTTTTCTCTGACTGTTTTTGATTTTCTTTAAGTTGTTCAGTCTAAAGAAAAAAGATAAACACAATTGAGAAAGTCCCAGAAAGAAGAGCAAACCTTTTCAAAAGCAGCTCATAGATATTTGATCACATTTTTATTTGTAGCTCACCTGTTTCTGGAGTTCAGACATTTTAGAGAGAGCATCATTCTTCTCTTTTTTGAGTGCCAAAATTTGCTCGGTCAACCTTTTTTCATCCACTATGTAGCAGAAACACAACAAAAAGTTCACAATCAGTTCGATTTTACACTTCTACATTTGTCATGTGATAAGATGTGAAATCAATAACTAAAAACTTACCCAGATATTCTCTCTTCTTTACCTAAAACAAAATTTAGAAATGCGACAAGATCAGCTTGATTTCTGATCACACATTTTGAAATAACTGTCACAGTGTGATCATCGTGTAAATGTAGTGATGTATTCATCATGTCAGGAAGAGTGCACAAATAGAGTCCATCAGTGAACCAGATAAGAAAAATATTATGCTTAAATATTATACTATTATCTCAATATGTAGTTAAGCGTGTGCGTCTTAAATGGATATAAGCTTATAAAAATGTTTAATTTTTTTCTTCGCTGTAGACAAATCGTTGGGCCCAATAAAATCTGTTTGTTTAATCTTTCCCCAAATTCAGTGTTGTCCATTTATTAAATTTGTTTCTAAATTCTGTGTTTTACAATTTCAGCACAAGTTGTCATCAGAAAGCGTGTGTAATCATGTAGTGGATAAATAAAATTTTAACAATTCAATCAGAAAATATTATAAATGTAATCAACAACAATGAATTTGATGTTTCACACAAATATGCATATAGAAATAGTAAAATATATGTGCAATTATTTAAGGAGACAATTCAAAATAAATGTATTGCAACAGTACAATATTAAAATACTATTTAATAGGGGACATTTCCAGTGAATGCATTGTTGCAATGCACATACGCTGAATTCTTATTAAATAGGTTATCATCATTGTTAATTACTGATAATTTATTTCAATGGATCTTCTGCAGGAAAGCCTCCATATGCTGCTCAAACTCACAGTAATAAGTGGTTCTGACAGAGGCTACGTTAACTTGGGCAACGCTCCTCCTTATTCACAAAGCTTGACTGGATGTAGCTTTTCTAAGAATATCTGACACACAACCACGAAGTCTTCAACGAGCTTGCACCTTGCATCTGACGACGTGGTTGCACTAACCCAGATTCTTCCTGAATCCACATTTTGGTAGTGTTGTGTATGTTGTCTGCATCGTGGAAATCATAGGGCCCTAAATTAACACATAGTTTGAGCAGAGATGAGAGAAGCAATAGTAAAACACTTACTGCCAACACAACCCTCCAGAAGAAAAGGGTGAAGGTCACTACTCCAACCAAAGCAGTGATGACAACAGCTTGCCATGGACAGCCAAACAAGGTATCTCCAGGTTTCCACTCTTCTGGCAGTAGTGATATCATCTGATGGCACAAACACAATCAATATTCAGGAATGATCATGGTCACAATTAGGAAAAAATTAATAAAGCTGAAAAAGCTGGTTAAACATACATCTTGAAGAGAGAAGTTCTATGTCTCAAGGCATACAATAAATGATGTGGCAGTGGGGAGATTTTCCCCCCCCCCTTCTTATTGTGATTTAAATGCAAACAATTTTATGACAGGACTAAAGTATTTGTCAAAGCACAATGAGAGACTCCAGGAGGCCTACAGTAGGTTAAGCCTTAAAGCAACCAGTATTTACACAGATACTGCACATAAACTGATGAACATCAGTAGAAGTGATGTGTTTCTGTACTCTATTCACACCAAAGCTTATCAAGATATCAGAGCATTACCATGCAATAATAATAAAACAAAGTTGTGCACCAAGCAGTGTCCTTATGCTACAACCAAAAACATTAAACTCTCTTGTTTATTAGCATCAAACACATGAGCAAAACAGTGATAAATCTGCAAAACTAATCAGCTCTTTCACAAGTTTCCTGCCACTAACACAATCAACACACATCCTGTAGGGACAAGCATTTTGACACTAATCAAGAATTCTCAATAACTGCACTATTAAAAAGGTATTATGGAGAGTATTATAAAGGGTTGGTGTTACAGTGCTTCAGAGGGGCAGGAAACAGATTTCCATAATCATTTGCTGCTTCTAAATTCATACGCTGATAATTTACAACTACAAGCCAGGTGTTGTTTATATTACAGTTAAATCAGTACAAAATGGTTGTTTGCTGCCAATAGGGTGGAATGTTAGGAATCGTATCGATTGCCAAAGAGGACTATAATGTTACCACTGGCTTCATTAGCGTCCTTTAATACCAGTAAGAACTCTGCAACCACAAAGAAACCTTTGAACTGAGCATGTGGCAGTTCAGACAAGAACAAACACACACTGTGGCTCTAATGAAATGCAGGGATTACAAATAAATTAACACACCACATTGTCTGGAAGGATTAACATGCTCTCTTCAGCCAGGCATTACAAAAGCCTAATTTTTCTTAATATAGCAATACACAAATACAAGACTGCAACCATATTATGGTTAACAGGACATTAAAACTCTAATTTACATAGAAAATAAACTATAGAACAGCATATGTTTCACATGGGTCTTCGAAGAGACAAGTTCAGTTGCATCTGGTAGTTAAGTAAATTGAGTAGTTTAAGTCTCTGTCAGCCATATGCTCATGAACACGTCAGCAGGCCATGGTAGCATAATACATACTTGGACACACTTGACATAGAACTCCGACTGACTCAGTTTTTCACTTACATGTTGCAGCTCCTTTAGAAAAAACATTTGAACGTGATCCGGTTCCATTACAGGTCGGGGTAACGTTACTGTATCGCTCTCCATGTCTTTGAAACAAGAAAGGAACTAGCCAGAGTATGCTAGTTTGACAGATATTAGCTTGGTAGCACGCTAGCGTTAGCCAAGCTCACAGTATAATGTACGGTTAAGCTGACGTTAGCCGTTAGCGTTAAAGCCTACGGCGTCTGAAAAAACACGTCGTTGCAAACAGTGACAACGTTAGACGGTCGAGACAGGTGGTGAGCAGGACTTGGCAACAACAGTTGGCTAAAGGAAATTACAGATGACTCGTCGTATCCCATTCACTATCAGAAACCAAGCTGGAGACGTTAGCGGAGCTGCAGGTTCAAATATGGGTAACACTTTTAGTACAAAAGGCGTTTAGGAACCTAAATTAGTACACACAGTCCACCTTACGACAGTGTCTAAAGATTAATTATCTGGCTTTCCGTATTAAAATAAGGCCCGCCGGTTGTGCTATTAGCCAGCTCAGCACCGGCTGTGTTGAACTTCAGCATATACCGCTACAGTCAACAAGACAGGAGGCGGTGCGTGGGACGTTCAGGAACAATCGGAAATGTTAACTTTCTTTGATACAGATTTCCCCAATATCCACCCTGTATACTCGGTCACCTCATACTTAAATTCATCAAAGTACTGTCGAAATGTGTCAGTGCATTAAGATCAAAAAGATAGCAATGTGTGACAGTAAAGAGGCATATCATAGTAAAATTGCAATTTATAAGACCAAATCATTTCAAACACACACACACATTATATATATATATAGTGTCGCTATATAGTATATGCATATGGTCATCTGGACCGGTCAGCAGTGTTTGTGTGTGTGTGTTGCACAAAAGGCCCAAGTTATTATTATTATTATTATTATATTTTTTAAATCAAGTCATTTTGTTTCCTGTGCCCCGGTAAAAATGTTCTATGGCCTGCTTCTGTTCCACGGCCAACCAACTGTGAACCTCTGGTTTATAAGTGTTCTTCTGCATTATTGATTTTATGGATTTAAATTATTCACATTTAAATGCACAACACAGGCAACAAAAACAATTAAGCTGACGAAGCTAGTGTACACAGTAGCTTACAATTGTTAGACTTACCACAATGGTCCACTCTGCAATTTTGCTCTTGATCACTGACAGTATGCAGCCCATATAAACATGTCCAGTTAATAATAATCCCACTTCTTCTTTGTGAATTTCAGTCACTGGGTCCATGGAATTCAAAGATTCTGGTGGAACAAGATTCCCCTGTTAGTCAGTTTGTGTGTGTTATGGACACACAAAGTAAGAGTCTTCCATTATAGTTTGTCATCTCATGCATTAAAAATAGTTACAGTACCATGTGATGATCAAACAATTCTTCCAAAACCAGGTAAAGCAAAGACAGAACCAAACAAGGCTAAACTATGACTGTCGCATAATCTGAGGGAGCCTAGCATACAATGGACTGACTTGCTGATCTCATGAACTTTTAACCTTGATATGCTGACCTCAAGAATGAACTCTTGAACCTAACTGTGCTATATATTTTATTAAAACCCAAGTCCAAAGTGCTCAAAACAGGTTTGCATTTTCTGAGTATGCCACAAATAGTGAGGTCAAATTATTGTGAGGGCTTGGCATAAAGACTGCAGTAATCTTAAAATCTACAATAACAACTCCACGATTGAAGCAATTTCAGCTAATATTGTTTGGTAGGTTAAAGAAACATGCATGCTAAGAACAGCAATAATGAATTAACTTAACTCTCACTAAAAAAAGATTAATTGATTATGTCGTTTAGATTACAAACCTGAGGGCGAGTGTTCAACCTCGACACCAAGACCCATGTCTAAGGGATTTTCCAGGGTGTCTTGAGGGACCTTCTGTATCTCGTCTGATGCACTGAAGCTCAACGGATTGTCTTTGTTTTTATTGAAGTGTCCGCTATCCTCCTCCACACTAACGTCTGGTCCACTGTGCACCTCATCCAAAACTATGTGCTCCTCTGTAGTCTCTGCTGGCCCTTCTTCATGATCGCTTACTGTGATGTTGGCCTCACTCCCAGCCTCAGGGACGCTGACAACTTTGTCTTCTTCAACGATGAAGGGCACGTCACCTTTTACATTTAATAATGTAAACAAACAAACAAACAAAGCAATTTGGAATTAGTCGAGGAGGTCTCTTTCCAGGTTTGTCAAAAAAAGTGTCTGGTTAGAAAGGATTGTGTAAGTGGAAGGAGATTTTTAGTTTTTTCTGTGAGGTGTAGGTGTGTAGGCAGTTAACAACTCGGGTTTCCTTTAAACATTCTTAATCTGATGACAGCAGGTGCGGTCTATGGCTTTGCCAAGAGAATGATATTTGCTTAGTAGGAGGTCCATGTGACTCTCTTTAATGTAAAAGATGATGTTGAAATGTGAGGTTAGCAGATTTAGGGCTGGTACAGTCATGAACTGGAACAAGATAATTTTAAATCTGTGTTTGTGCGCTACATGACATCTGCGATGCAAAGATTCCAAAAATGACTGTCTTGGAAATTACAAAGTACAAAAGTGGTAAATTAGGCCCTGTGTACACAGCATACTAAAACAAATCAGCAGGTGAGATGTCAACCAAAGCACATTGAGGATACAGCTAGCTCAAGCTACATACTAGCTACCAAATTGAGAGTCCACTTATATTATGTCAAACAACTAGGACAAGACTTCCAAAATTAAAAAGAGTGCTGTATCAAATATCTGGTACAATCATATTCCCAAGCTTTATTTTTTTAGCAGATTAATGTGTATTTTTTTCTTTTAAACCGCAATTCACTGTCATCAGGGAAGTGAAATTCTATCACAAATGGACACTTGAGACACAATCTGATGCCAGGTGTCAACTCTAATCTCTTAACAACAATCTGGATATAATATAATAATCTGGAAACAAGATACTCGTCTGACAGTGCCTGAAAGGACAATGCAGGGCTGCATATCTGCTGTGCCACAGTGTCAAATTCTGCATTCACTTTATTTGCAGATCATAAGCTGATGCAATGCATTGTACTCGTCTGTGAAAGGCTCATATTAGTGGTTAAAAAAGAATGTGCAATCATAGGACCTGACTAGCAATCACAGAGGAGGCAATCCCACAGCTCTTATCCATACTACATAGTCAAATGAAAAACAAACCTACCTTGGTCAATATCTGATGCTTTTTCTGTCGCTAAAGGCGTGCTGTCACTGGCTGTTGAATACTTCTGTCGTAGGCTGAACGCAAGCTCCTGGAAGTCATCCAGTATTTCAGTCTCCTCATCCAAACCACTGTCCATATGTTGGTCATTACTGTGTTTTGCGCCTTGGCTGTCCAGCATCTTCTCAATCTCGTCCAGGATAGCGTTCTCAGATGCTTCCAGGATGCCCTCGAGTGCATTTTCAATGTCTTGCATAGTACCTGTGGATGAGAGACGTGTAGCCTGCAATTCTATGTCCAAGTCAGAGAACATGGCCTCCACTTTAAAGAGATTCTTGAGACCCAGAAGCTTTTGGATCCGATCCATGCTCTCCTCTGTGAAGTGGTCTCGAAGCAGCGTCAGTCTCAACACGCTATCACTGTATTCCGGCTCTGGAGTCAACGCAGTGGGCAGGGTTGTCTCAGGTGAGGGTTTGTCAGAGGTGTCGTCTGATTGTGAGGAAGAAAGTGCATTTTCATCTTCAAGTAATTCTTCTTTCTCCTCCTCTGGATCTTTCTCATCTTCCCAGACCTCTGTAAAAACTTCCTCATGACTCTCTGGTTCCTCCACGGATAATTCTGGTTGACCGTCATTGCTCTCTAAATCTGTCATTGAATAGTTGTGTATCTGATTAGATAGGCTGTCATCTATAGTATATTCCTCATCTTTTACATCTGAATCCTCAGTGGACGTGTCCTGCTGTGTTTCGGTACTGGCTAATTCTTGATTGCTCACCTCTTTGTTTTCAGCCAATTCATTGTCTAAATCCTCATTGTGCTCCATTTCAACACTACTGTCCTGTACATCTGTGTTACTATTACAGACCTCTGAATCTTCCTCTTCTTCCTCTTTGTGCCCAAAGGGTTCATCTGCTGTTTTAAGATCTGATTTTTGAGCCTCAGGAATGGAGGAAGTATCATCTTGTGATATTGGATCCACTGATTTTGTACTTGCTTCTGTTTGATGGGGTATCGGCTCATCAGTTGGTTCTAATGTTTCCTCAGGTCCGATCACTTCTCCTTCATCCTCATCATCGCGATCAAACAAGTGTTTTTCAGAGTCACTGTCCATTTCTTTATTATCTGTCTGTACAGAGCTGGGATTAGCAGGATCTTGAAGAACTGGCTCTATATTTTCCGGCTCTTTTGCCAATTCTACGGATACCGGTTTTTCTATGTTTTTCTTTGCTTCTTCAAAACTCTGAGGGGCTTCTGAAGCAGCTTCTTCTTCTTCCTCGTCATCTTCCTCCGAACTAAAATCTTGTGCCGTTTTCTCTCCCCCAGTGACAACTGAAAAAACAGCATCTCCAAATGAGGTCCACATGCTCTTCTCCTCTTCAGTCTCCGGTTTATCATCATGTGTTGTTGGAGGACTTTCAGGCTTTCTGATGGAATCAGATGCTGGAGTGCTCACAGGTTGTTCTGAGAAAGACAGCAATGGAGTTTCTACTTTAACATCAACGTCATCTTTGGGAGGATTCTCTACATAGTTACTTTCCTCCTCTTCATATGGGGTAACTTTCTTGGTGATTTCTTCATCTGAGGCGACAGCATCAAAAGTTGTTCCAAGGGTAGTTTTTAACTGGGGGATTTGCACTCCTTCAGAAATTTTGATGGAATCAGATGCGGGAGTGCTCGCTTGTTCAGAAAAAGACAGCAATGGAGTTTCAACTTCGACATCAATCTCATCTTTGGGAGGATTCTCTACATAGTCACTTTCCTCCTCTTCATATGGGGTAACTTTCTTGGTGATTTCTTCATCTGAGGCGACAGCATCAAAAGTTGTTCCAAGGGTAGTTTTTAACTGGGGGATTTGCACTCCTTCAGAAATTTTGATGGAATCAGATACGGGAGTGCTCGCTTGTTCAGAAAAAGACAGCAATGGAGTTTCAACTTCGACATCAATCTCATCTTTGGGAGGATTCTCTACATAGTCGCTTTCCTCCTCTTCATATGGGGTAACTTTCTTGGTGATTTCTTCATCTGAGGCGACAGCATCAAAAGTTGTTCCAAGGGTAGTTTTTAACTGGGGGATTTGCACTCCTTCAGAAATTTTGATGGAATCAGATGCGGGAGTGCTCGCTTGTTCAGAAAAAGACAGCAATGGAGTTTCAACTTCGACATCAATCTCATCTTTGGGAGGATTTTCTACATAGTCACTTTCCTCCTCTTCATATGGGGTAACTTTCTTGGTGATTTCTTCATCTGAGGCGACAGCATCAAAAGTTGTTCCAAGGGTAGTTTTTAACTGGGGGATTTGCATTCCTTCAGAAATCGAGACTGGTTCATTTTCTGAAACAAAATCATCTTTGGACACAGATCGCACTTCAGATTTTGTAGGTGCATCTTTGGTTTCACTGTCTTCTGCAGCTCTCTCAATAGCATCAGATGTAGCTGCTGTATCAGAATCTGCAACTGGTTTAGAATATGACTCAGTTGCCACATCAAGTTCAGATAAAGAGGCACTTTGATCATATAGGACAAGATCCTCAGAGTTATCATGATGCTCCGTTTGTTTTTCACGGTCAGTTGCCTCGTCTGCTGATGGTTGTAATTCTTCCTGCGTGCCCTCTGCCACTTGGATTGGGTCAGATTTTCCTGTATTTTCACTGTCATTCTCCTCCAGTGATGAGCCTAACAGTGAATCTATGTCGTAATTGTGAAACTTATCATATCCAGTGTCAAAACAGACGAAATCTGTTTCCTGAAAAGACAAGAAAATTAAAAACACACATGGGCTATTTATAAGTGCTATTTTGTTGATAGTTTGAAAGCTCCATTGTATTTCAGATTGATTCAGTTAGTCAGCAACATATTTTCATACCTCTGCTGGAACTTCAAATTCTATGTCAGTATAAATGTGGTTAACTGCAAGAAGGTCCTTTGGGAAATAGCCAAAGTGACTTCCAACCTATTGACAAATGCAAGAAAAGAACGTGTTGAGGATTACACCTACGTTATCCAGTACTGACTGAATATTAACTGTATACTTACACTTCCAGCCCATATGTCGGCCCTTCTTCCTGACAATTTATAGTATACATAGATAGTTTCTGATTTCTTGACTGACAGGAACCGACAGTCTGGTCCCAAGAAATCTTTCACAGCTTTTCCCCGACATAGAAGCACTGTGAAAGCAAAATATGAAGCATTAGAATTGTTTCAGAAAGGTAATCCTTATCAATGTGTTATTTTTTCACATATTGCTCTTTTCAAGAATTCAAAATGCTGCACTTGGGTTCACGCATAATAATTAGTAGTTTTATCAGTTAAACAGTTAAGCATTTGGTCCATATATTCAGAATATAATTAAATTGTTTCCAAAAGCCAAGTTAACATGCAATTGTATTTTGTTCATCCAACAGTCCAAAAGCCAAAGGTGCATGGTTTAATGTAATGTAAGCTTAAGAAAAGCAGCACATGAAAAGCTGGAATGGATCCATTTCTTTGCCATTTTTTGCTTTAAAATTTCTTTACTGATTGTTTATTGCAGTTTAATTTTTTGTCTATTGGCTTATTGTTTTGGCATTGCCCTTTTCACAAAACAAGACTGACAATGATGTAACTAAAGGAGATGAGAAACAAGTAAAGAGTTAACCTTGAGCATTGTCTGCATGACATGCTACTGTTGAAATTAAAACCAAAATCCTATGGATTTAGTTCTGTCTTTAGTCGTTTATTGGTTTAAACATTGCCTAATTAGACATCTAGGAGCAAAGTAACTGTTCTCCTTACTTTTATGTGTTAATGTGTCAATTTTTTATTGTTTTATGACTCAATACTAGCTTTGTTATCACGTAATTACACCAGTCCTTTGGGTAGTAGTCAACATTTTTAACAGCTACGTCGGACTTACCTGTGATGGCTTAAATCTAGCAATGAAAACTGATATGTAAACATAGGTCAACAACAGTACGTTTCTCTATATTCTCCATCAAATCGTCACTTAAAGCTTAAATTTAAGTTAGCTGGTTAAACTAACGTTACGCAATCTACAGTAACGTTACTCTGTGTCAAGCAGTTTAGCAACAAGGTGAGAAGTAACAACCAAAGCTAATGTTGCTTAACAATAGAGCTAGCGAGGCTTGTACTTCGTTAGCTAATGGTAACTAGTAACTACTGTTTGTCAAGGTATTAGCAATAGAGCTTTTTCCCAAGCCAGTTAATTTTGCCACCAGTTAAACTGTCACACCGGTGGCCAATTAGCTGCTAACATTAGCCATCACTATCCACCCAACATGGCAGGCCAGAGCTGCCAGGGAACCGAGCAACGCAGGCTGCGTCTGGCCGAATAACCTTCCCAAAAAACGACTGACGTTAACATTAGCTTGCCTTGTTTTCAAAGAGCAGCACACGGGTAAACAACATTAAAACAACTGCAAGAGGTTACCCAGGTCGCAAATATCGACTGGCAACAGGTCTAGAGATAAGGCGCAGTTTATGGCTAGCTGTACTATCGGGATGTGGGAAGACTGCATCCTTGAAGATGAGCTAGTAACAAGCCAGCAAACTTACTGCTGCACTCCTTATCGGCGCATCTTTTAAAGTCGGAGAACCTTTTTTCCAAGGCTGCGGTTGAAATAAAATTGAATAAAAGTAATAGAAAGCCCTGTCGGTAGAAGTGTTTTGCTGCCATGCTGGCAGATTTGTTGACTGGCTTGATTCCGCTGCTGGAGCATGAGCACTGTGCTGGAGGAGCCGACACGTCAGCAGATCAGATCCGGCTGGGTGTCGGCCCGGGTAGGTTTTCACAGGATATAAGGTTTGGATTAGGCTGCTTCATGTGACTGTGGGAAACCAGCTCAAGGTAGATGCGGTGGTGACTGAGAAAACTGCGCAGGAAATCAACCTCATTATTATGTGCAGTTTCTACTGGAATAATCCATCATACATACAAGGGCATCTATATTATGAAGACAAAGAGGTCTTCCTTATACATATTTGACTATTCACTTTTTGTAATGTAATGTAATCCTCCCCAGAGCCCTCTTTAGACAAATATAGTTTAGCCATAGTGTTTCAGCTTTCAGCCCTATAAAAACCCTATTTTGAGAGACAAACCAAATGCAGTGAACCCTATTGCAAATTTGGGGGTTTGAAAACCAGAGATAATTGTCATGTTATTAACAGCCATCATTAACAAACATCACCCATTCAGTGTGTGATCTATTTAATGTTTACACCGACCTATTTATATCTATCTATCTATCTATCTGTCTGCTAGAGTACTATATTAGTGCCAAATGTAAATTGCCAGTTCAACTATAAAATCACAAAACAGCATAAGTAGGTAAGAAAAAACATTATAAAAACATACCTAGAGAAAGAGCATATTTAAATAGCATACTTAAAAACTGAATAATCATAGTTTATCCTAACTGCCTTTGGTTTCCCGTTTGGAACACATCATGTAAAACACAACACAAAAGCATGTTCTGAGACAGTCTTTGCTGAAACATCATGTCACCTGAGGTCAGGTTGGCAGAAGAAGAAGAACATTTCCATCAGGTTTAAAATTCTTTCAGCAAACCAAAATATTACCCATCCATAGGGACACAATTAGTAAACCTGCTTTTGTGTTTGTTTAGAATAATTTGTATATTGGTACATATTGTATATTTTACATGGTTTATCTCATTCAGTTATTGTAAAATACAGGCTAAATGTCGATCCTCTTGTTCCTTCTGTCACCACACAGATGAAATGACAAGTCACCATTTCTGGGATTGTACCTTTAGTCAGACTTTTTGGTATGACCTTAAACTTTTTTAAACATAAAATGAGATACTCAAATCAAATTCAAAATTGATTATTCTGTTTGTTGTATTTTTTTGCCGTCAAGAAAATGTTATAAATCTAATTTCTTTATAAGATAAATCCCATAAACACAACAGCAAGTTTGCAAAACAGAAACCCAACCTTACTGTCTTCATCATAGGTCTTCATGTCCTGCTTCCTTTCCTACCTAGACACACAAATACTGCTCAAACTATAAAGCTGTGAAACCTAGAGCCTTTTTACTTATTATTATTTCTTTATGTTTTTGTAAATTACGTGTCTTTTTTTTGTGTTACGGTCTGCGCACTACCTCGAGCACGCATTGCCTTGTTACTGTTGTTGAAATGGTAAACACAAATAAAAAATAAAAAATTTGCAGAAGAAGAAGCTCTTTGCTCCGCCTTTTCCGGCCACAGGAACCAATAATCGTGTAGCTTTTATTCTTCTTCCTTAGCTACTGTACTGACAACACAACATGTGGAAGTCACATTAATGAACAATACAAAACACCGCATGCTATTAATCTTTCAATAGATTCAAAGTCTGAATAGGTACTGTACGTTTGATTTGAACGTTAGCTCACCGATGCAGGTTAGCTTAACGTTAGCTGTTCATTTAGCATCGGCACCTTGCTTACCCTCAGAAACATCTAACGTTGCTGCTCAGCAGGTAAGTTAGGAAGTGATTTAACTTTGTTTTAATAGAGAATACGCCTTCCTTTTCTAACTAAATCTCACCTTGATATAGTTAATATAACAGGCGTAACTTTGTTGGTGGTTACATTTATTCAGAACAATGCTGAGAAAGGGAACCAACTAAGTTAACGTAAGCTAGTGAGTTGGCCTCAAATTACAATAACAGCTTACAGCTGTAGAATAAAGTTATCGTTAACTGAAGTCTTAAATATCATTTAACAATACTACCACTGGTGTATTAGTGTGTGTCCATCTGTAATGGCTTTCTGTTTACAGTTGCACCTTAATAACATAACGTTAGCAATTAGCTCCACACCTGAAACCTGAAATTAAGTGATTGGTTCATCGACAGGAAATTTATCGGTAGCTCCTTTTAGAAATAGGAGAAAAAGTCATTTTTCAAGCATAAAATACCAATGCATCCTCCTGTTGATCAAATGTGAGAACTTGTTGCTTTTCCTTGTCTTTCATTATAGTAAACTGAAAATATAATTTAGATTGGTCATACCAACAAAGCCATTTGAGGACTTGGACTTAAGACTGTGATGGGCATTTTTCATTTGATGTTTCATTAACTATTTATTTTATTTAATTTTAGAACAAACGATTAATAAATAATCATTGGCACATGACCTTTGCAGTTTAGCAAGGGTAATGTAAGTAAGTTGCCTGCTGACACAAACATTTTTCTCCCTGCAGGTGGAAGTCATACACTGAGCATCAAAGCGAGTGATAAAAGGCAGCTATATCACCTGAGTCTAAGTGCTTTGCTGATTATGGATGACTTGAGAATTGAGCTAGGGACTCTTGAAAACTTAGAGGATGACAATGATTCCTCAGATGACAACTCTTCAAAAAGAGGGAAAAAATATAAGCTCCCTCTGGTTAACCCCGTGTGTGTAGGTGAGTTGTACAGAATGTACCTACATACATTTGCTCTTTACAATATAGAACCTGTTGGAGATAGAATGATAAATTATGTGGGCTAAGATATCGCTATCGGTGTATATATTGGCTATTAAATATAAAATGTTATAGCATTAACATCAAAGATATAATGCGTGTAATTTAGATGTCGATGTCTTCAAGATCGTTGGGATCAGCCTATAATGTCCAGTATCAGTCAAGCTATAGAACCTGTGGTAGTTAATCATTTTTATGACAAATGCCTTCCTGTCATCAAATAATAACTTTGATTTTTTTTATCTTTAGAGACACCTAAGGAAACTGGGTTTCACCAGACTACCAGAATCTGTCTGGAGCAGATCAGAGAAGCCCTGCTACATCACAGATGGCAAGAGGCAGCAGAATATATGGCATGTTACCCACAAATGTTAGACGACTCAACCAATGGCACAGCTCAACAGCATAAGGAGGTAGGTTTGGTTTTGTCTGTGTTAGTATGTTTTTGTGTCACACAGGCAGTGAGACACCAATTATACAATTTCAATTCTGAGACAAACGGATGACTAGACATAAATCCATAGTACAACTTGAACAGACAATACTTTGACCTCTCTCCAAAGTAAAAAAAAAACACCGCCACAAAAGCCATGCTTCTAAAAATACAATGTAATTCTTTTTCATCATCCACTCAATATAATTTAGCTGAAATTGCAAATTTGAGTCTGTTTTTATAAATAAAGTACTGTGCAATTATGTAAACAGTTTGATAAAAGACTGTACGCAAGTTTCCACATCCTTGATCTTAACACTTTTTTTGCAATTTGCTATCCCAGCTTATTTGGCGCATCAGTGCTGAGATCCTTCACCATCACCCCAACTCAAAGATGGAAGACTACAACAACATCTATGAACGAATGAAACACTCTGGAGTTAGACATTACCTGATGGTATGTTAGCTAGTAGACCTGACCACACAGTGCACAGTTTTCATGTGGACTTACTTCTTTTTTTTTTTTTCAAACATTTGATTTGAGGCCTTTGCTTCTCTAGATTTGTCTTGAACAATCGTTCCACCTGCTGCTTAATGGTCACATCGAGGATGCAAAGCGTCAGCTGTCTGTCGCTGAAGGTTGGAGGCATGGGAAGGAGTCAGCAGTTCAGGATCAGAGGGCAAAACTTATCCAGGCCTACAGGAGTTTGCTGGATTATATCATCTGGTGTGACAAAAAGTGTACACAACCCAACACTGGTAAGTGGATCTGCAGCTTCACACCCAAAGCATTTATTATTTACCTGGATCCCTTACACAACCTCTTGTGTGATGTCACACTGCCACCTACTGGTCAGACCCAGTTACTACTCTGGTAAAAAAAGAAGAAAAGTGATGAGGTTGTAGGAAATCTATTTGTGTGTACACTCTTTCCACTAAATTCCCTCTAATACGACTGATGATTTGAATCTATTTACTTTTTGTAAATAATGAGAAGTAAACTGGTCCTCTGTTTCAGATGATCCAGACTTTGGTGACAACCCTGACATGCACAACTACTTCAGACAAGCCTCTGTGAATTTAAAGGAGATTTTAAAATATCCTGGCGTCTGGGATCCCTTCATACTGAGTTATGTTGAGGTAAGCACTCGTTTGCCACAGGGAATGAAGATTAATTATAGAAACATATATATTTAACATCACAAGATGAAATAGAATTGACTAGAGCAATCCAGTCAATTGACAGAAAATTCACTGCATCTTATTCCTCAAGTGTGGTTTTCTTTGATAATATACCTAAATTGTGTGCTAAAGAGTAGATAGTAAACGGCAGATTAATTGATAATTAAAATAGTTTAAGCCCTTCTATACAGTTTGATATCATCAATGTGTTTCACGCTCAAGAAACAACAACTTTCAGGCCCAGTTCAACATCTACTTATTGTTTAACTGTTTTTTTTATTTTGGTAGATGCTGGAGTTCTATGGGAACCATGAGGAGGCCTTGAAAGTCCTTAATGACTATGCTTATGACAGCAATTTCCCCCCCAATCCCAATGCACATGTATATCTGTACCAGTACTTGAAACGGCACGATACTTCAGAGAGGAAACTAATGAAAGCATTGAAGGTATAAGTGTATATAAGTGTATATATATCACTTAACCCATTTTTGCTTAGTTTCCACAACAGTTTCTAAAGATAAAACTGATATTTAAGAGCATATAATTAGAGTGTATACGTACTCGAGAGTACTTAATGTATTTATTGTTTTGTGTAATTTTATAACTGATATTAGAGAGAGACATGAAACTGTAGTAATGATCCTTATAAAGCCACTT